TTCAAGGATACGTCTATCCAAAACAAACATGTGTGCTGTTTTCTTCAACGCTGCAATGCCTTATAGTTAGACTTTCTAATTGTGGAAAAACAAATCTCATGCCCAATTTGATTGAACATGAAAACGGGCTTACATTTGAAAATATTTATGTGTATTCAAAGTCTTTGTATCAACCAAAATATAAATATCTGGCAGAATTGCTAACACCTATAAAAGGGATAAAATAGTTTCCATTCAATGCAAGTGACAACATTTTATACCCTTCAGAAGCCAAACCAAATTCCATATTCCAGAAACAGGACAATTTCTAAAAGTGAGGAACACTCCGACTATGATGTTGATGATGATGATGATGATGATCCACCAAGTAGTATAAAAAGATCCATCATAGACGGTATAGATTGTGACTATGAAGACAATGATTCTACTGGATTGGGGAATGATAATGCTGTTGCTACTGCTGCTTCTGATAAAAACAGATTTGATGATATTTCAGAAAAGTCATTCAATGATTACTTAGAACAATATGATGACCCGTTACCTAGAAAATACATTAGTGAAACGTATGCAGACAAAAATAATCGGGAATTTGATCGTAAGTATGGTGTCAGGCTCGATGAAACCATCGAAAAATTTATGATTGGTGATTCTAAATTAGACTTTATAGGAGCTGATATATATGTGAAAGGTAAACGGTACAAGGGCGGTCCAGGTTTATACGAATTGTTATTTAGAAATATCCGAACATGAATTTCTGCAGCTCTGACGATGTCAACACCTACAGGCAAATTGTATATACAACTAATGCCCACAGGAGGTACTACAAAATCTGATACTCAACTGGATGGAAGTAAGCTACAAAAATATAAAAAAATTATTGCACCTCCTTTAAAAATGGGTTATGGAATAATGAACAATAAAAATATGACCACGACAATGGAATATTCTAGCAATGTTAATGAGATCAATTCGATAGTTGAGGAATTAAGGGAAAGTCAATATATTGAATAATGGTTAAAACATTTAAAACAAACATAAAACGGCAAGTCGTTGAAGAACTACACGAACCTGCACGTATAAATTTCGAAAGAAGAAGTAATCGCTAGACGACCTTTTTCAAGCAGATCTTGAATGATACTATACTCGAGGGACAATAAAGGCAACAAATATATACTGGTTGTGATAAATTGCTTTTCTAAATTTCTTTGGGCTCTACCTTTACATTATAAAACAGGTAAAGCGGTTACAAAGGCTATGGAAACTATACTAAAACAACAGACACCCAAAAATCTACAAACAGACGCTGGACTGGAATGTTTCAATCATGATTTTAAAAACCTAATGAAGAAATATAATATAAATCCTTATCATAAATTCAGCGAAAAGAAGGCAGCCATTGTGGAAAGAGTAAATCGAAACTAAAAAATATGATGTGAAAAGAATTTAGTCTGCAGGGAAATTATAAATGGATAAGTATTTTACCAAAACTGGTAGAACGATATAACAATAAGAAGCATAGAACTATACAAAAGCCAGCTGATCTTACAAAAAAGAATGAAAAAAGACTATTATCTACTGTATGTAATCGCTTGAAAACGGTAAACTTAAAAACGAAATTCAAAGTGGGTGATTATGTACGCATTTCTAAAATAAGAGGTGTTTTTGATAAGAAATATCAGCCAAATTGGTCGCCTGAAATTTTCACAATACGAAAAGTAACATTAACTAACCCAATTACATATTTGTTGAAAGATGAAAATAATCAAAATATTTTAGGAGGGTTTTATACAGAACAACTGCAAAAGGTAAAACATCCTGATGTTTATCTTGTAGAAAAAATATTGGAGAAAAAGGAGACAATATCAAGGTCAGATGGTTAGGATTCGATAAGAAACATGACAGCTGGGTACATAAAAAGAATATTGTCTAATAAACAATCTCAATTCATGTTCAGTCTTCTTGTGCAGCGTTTGCATTCGACAGTCCACAAAAATGATCATTATTGACGTTCAAGGGTTTACTCGTAACTCCAACTTTATTTGCAAAGAAATTGCTATCATTGATACACCAACTGGATACTGGCAACAAAAATTAGTTAATCTACCCGTAGAATTTACAATGCACAACAAGAGCACACAGTCACAGATCAACTGGACTGTAGACAATTTACATGGAATTCCTTGGGATTTATCTCCTTCTGAAGAGTCATGTCTTCATTATGAACAGTTGGCATCGTTCATCAAAGAAAATGTTCAAGATCAACCAATATTTGTCAAGGGACGCCCGAAGCAACAGTGGTTGGAAAGACTCATCACTAATCCCATCACCGATCCAGTACAAACATTGTTATAAACATGTGCATAATAATATGCGTTGTGCTTTAGAAAATGTTCATTTATTATTTAATTGGAATGTTATATCTAATGCTTCAAACAAACATTGTAATGAACAAAATATCACACTACTGCTGTCGTTTCATTTCCTCTCCCTCGCACATATGACATGGATGGTCGTCGTCGTCGGTCGACATTACGGCGTTTGTCCACCGCCGCCGTCACCGTCACGTCACCGAGAACTAGCGAAGTAGCGGTATTTACATTATTGATCGACCAGCCAAAGATTGCTAGGGACGAAAGGGGGAAATGCGATGAAAAAACCTTACCATTAGACGATTTTATATGGAGTCATAGGCGGAGATCGGAGAGACTTGAATTATTAATTGAATTTATATTTTATTACAACTGGTAGTATTAATATTTTTTTGCGATTCATAATGACGTGATACCAAACATACATTATAAGAAATAAATATACACAAACACTGAATATTGAGAACAAAATAAATATATTTTTTAGGCAACAAGTAATATTCCTATGTACGCATTATGATTGAACAGCAAAACAAATTATGCATTCTTCTAAAATAGAATACAACAAGTCAAAAATATCTGACTGAATAGAAAAATATAGGAAAACAAAAAGTAATTTCTTGATGAAATAACCCATAAACAACACATAGAATTAGACTTTCTACTGAGATACTAAAAGCCACAAACCAATAGTATAATAAATGAATATCTAAAAATTCTAAAAGGTAGCCAATCTAGTATAGTTTCAATCCTGATTAGAGTCATGATCACTGTCTGAGGAACTGTCATTGCTATCACTTTCACCTCCTATGTTGATTATTATTTCTTCCTGTATTTCTTGAATGAGACTGTCTTTTTCCCAATATTCATCTTCAATTTTTATAACATGTCCAATAACCTTTTGCCAGTCACTGGCACTTACTGAAGCGATGGCCTTATTAGAAATTTCATCTAGTTTTTTTATAGTAAATTCGCCGCTTGTATTATGGCTTCTAATGAAAAATTTTACTTGTGCCCAAATCATCTCTATGGGATTAAACTGACACATATAGGGTGGCGTTCGAAGTGGGGTGTGTCCGAAACTTCTTATTAAATTATCTATCTTATAATTTTTCTCATCAGATGGTGGCCTATGTAGACAAGCTATTTCATAAAGCTCCATTTTTTTAGCATTAGGATCATGCTCTATACCTTTTTTGCTCAACCACGTGATGATGTCTCTTTTTAGAGAAGATCTAGTTGGAGGCTTGTCTTCCAAAGCTGAATGGTAAGGTGCATTATCCATTATTATAATACTATTAGGAGGAATGTTAGGAAATAGTTTTTCAGTAAGCCACTTCGTGAAATTTTCTTGGTTCATTTGACCGTGATAATCACCAGTGGCACAGCCAGCCTTGAAAATGAGACAGGCTCCAGGAACAAAACCATCTTGCGAACCCGCATGAACAATTATAAGTCGTCCTGGAAATGAATAAATAGCCTCATTTTAGTGTTATTTTAAGTTTGCCAACACCTTTTTGAATCACTATGTATAAAAAACATATTTTTGAGAAAAAAATACTTGCAAGGGATTATGTATTCAATTAGACAAATTAAATGAGCACTTATTAAGAATATTCCAAAATTGAGAAAAATGTATAATAAGCAAAATCGAGGTGAAAGAAACTTTATTACCTGTAGAACTTATATTGCTCAGGACACCCATAATTTCTTCGCTTTGCCAGCATTTCTTGAAAGTGAGGTCATTATCAACCCAAGTTTCGTCCAAATAAATAATATGCCTTCCTTCTTCCCGGAACTTTTTAATAGACCTAAGATACTTGTATCGCCAATGTAAAATACTGGGTCTTTCCATTAGTAATTTCCTTTTGTTGTGGCATTTACGCCAGTAAAATCCTTTTGCTTTTAAAAGCAGCCTCAACGATTCTTTACCAAATGGAAATTCCATTTCTTCCTTCAGTTTGATTAGAAGTTTACTACAAGTAGGTACCACTTTAAAATCACAGTAAAATTTTTCTATCATTCTCCGAATAATGGAAAAATCGACTCCATCAATTTTTTGGATCACAGAAGGGCGTGATCTCTTTTTTCCGGGAGAAGCTAAAGGCTGTGTGGAGGTTGCATTTTGCCTGTCTTTATCTTCTTTTCTAATTTTACTTATAGTTCGTTCACTAACACCCGTATAATATGCCGCCCTTGCATTTCTAGCTACCAGTGGATAAACGAAAGTATTGTTAGCCGCTTCTGCATCGCAAGCACGTATCACGTTTGCTATTATTTCCCTTGCCTGGCTGTGAATAACTTTCCCATGCTTGAATTCCATTATCACCACTAAACAGTAAATTATATTTTCAAAGTATTTGCCAACTGCCTACGCCTATGGGAGTAGGTTTATAAATGACCGTGCCATCGGCACGTTATTCTAGTTTCAGATAAGATAAGAGTTTTGGACCAATCAGCGACCGGATGTTTACCTGCGGCCTGGGTTTTCCAGCTACATTGCCAAATTCAGCGGAACAATTCTATATCTTAAATATGTTAATATGTATGGACCGCATTTTATGTAGAACATCTGACAACTTCGCAATTTTTTGTCCGCATTCTTTCGGCTTGCAATCTTTCGCTGGTCCAACATTACATTACTTAGCCGCGTGTCCACCGCACATCCATCACCCGAGCGTTGTCATCCCGGCCGCCGAAATTGCGAGTAGATCGGCGTGACCGCTAGATCGTCGCCCGAGATTTTGACGGGCCGATATGCCGGCAATACAAAACACGTATGAACTTGTCCACACACTGCCGTCGCCGTCGCACCGTACACGAACTCAGTTATTATTTTGTTTGTAATCAATTATCATTAATTAGTATAACATTGTAATAAAAATGGCGAAAAAATTTAAATACGATTTTTATTCATTAATAGAAATTATAGAAAGTAAAGAATGTTTGTGGGATAAAACCAAGGAAGTGTCCAAAGATAAAGTTTTGCGTAGAAATGCATGGCGCGATGTTTGTGCCTTTTTAGAGCCGAACTTTGAGGATATGGACCAGAAAAACAAAGACGAAATTAGTAAGTACATGATAGTTTATTATTTATGTTTTTAATTAAGTAATTACAAGTTTAGATTTTATTCATCTGCCAAGGTAAGGAGCCTTATGGGCTTACAAAGTATTCAGCAAAATTATTTCTTATGTCATTAGCAGTATGCCCACCATGCAGAACACTTCCTTCCCTTGGTAGATCAGACAGCCCATCGTGCATAAAAGACATGAACATATCCTCACCTCTGTAGCCATCTTTTTCACGTACAATATTATGCAAAACGACGCATGCCTTAACTATACTTTTGCTAAGTTTTTTGTTTACATTTAGAGGGCGATGAAATATTCGCCATTTATTGACCATAATGCCAAATGCGCATTCAACGTATCTTCGTGCACGACAATGTCTATAGTTATAAATACGTTTTTTCACATCTAAATGGTTACCGCCAAAAGGACGTAATAAATGTTCAGTGAGCTGGAAAGCTTCATCGCCTAGTATAACATGTGGCATTCTGTTATTTTGAGATGAGTGCAGTGGAACAGGTGGAGGTATACTCAACCTGCCTTCAGTGAGTAGTTGATAGAAGCTTGTACGTTGAAAAATTGCGGAGTCGCAGTCTTTACCGTATGAACCGATATCAACATATACGAATCTGTAATCTGAATCAACTACTGCCAGAAGTACAATTGAGAAATGTCCCTTATAATTAAAGTTCATAGTGCCAGATTTCGGAAATTTTTCAATCCGTATGTGTTTTCCATCGACACAACCGATGCAGTTTGGGAAATTAGCTCTTCGTTTAAATCCTTCCGCTATTAATAACCATCGCTCAGTAGTAGGCGCAGCCAAGTGTTCACCACTTAAAATAGTCCATATTTGGTGACACACTTGTGTCACTATTCTGCTTATAGTCTTGATACCCAGTTGGAAGGTATATGACATATCGGTGAAGGTATTTCCACTTGCGAGGTATCTGTAATAAAAGTTAATTGTTAAATTTTATTGTTTCAGCAAGTGCTGTCATGAACAAGTGGAGTAATATTCGAGACACATTTACAAAGTCCCTTAAGACTAAGTCAGGACAAGCCGCAAAAAAAAAGTACATTTACAGTGATAACCTACAATTTCTACTTAAGACTGTAACACCCGACGAAACTGATTCAAGCATACCAACTGAAAATGATTCTGAAAGTCTTCCCGAAAGCCAACAAACATCACATAGTAACCTAGACCAATCAATACCTTCCCCATCCGTGACCGTGCATTTATGATATCTCTCCTTCCATCCGTCAAACAATTGAACGACGAGGATAGGTTTGACTTTAGAATCGAAGTTATGCAATTGCTTCGCAGATTTAAAAACCGCAGTCGTTTCGCTACACATAGCGATAATGGTAACTTCCACCAACTGACTTCACCCCAGCATGAAACCCAGCAGTATGCACCTCACCAAGGAAACCAACTGATTTCACCCCAGCATGAAACCCAGCAGTATGCACCTCAGCAAGGAAACCAACTGATTTCACCCCAGCATGAAACCCAGCACTATGCACCTCAGCAAGGAAACCAACTGATTTCACCCCAGCATGAAACCCAGCAGTTCACACCTCAGCAACAAATACAATCTATTAGTGGATTATTTTCCCAAGATTTTTCTAGAAATTAGGTGTGTAAGTTTAATCTAACTACCTGGGCCCTATTTTATAAAACTACAAGTTACAGGCTACAGGTAAATTACTGGCAACATTGACGGAATCCGCATTCGTGATTGTTCTAGACTGCGTCATTAATGTCAATTTGCCTGTAGAATTGTAACTTGTTGCTTTATAAAATTTGACCCTGGTACTCATACTATCATATAAGGTGACTACCTGTCATTCATAAGTTCATACTATTATTCAAATAAATATAAGTATTAAAATATAAAAAGTATGACTTCCTACACATCGCCGCAAGTAGAAGACGCATTTAGTGACGCTGACTGACATTACCAAGTGTACAGACCTTCCCAACACTACATGCGTCTTCTAGTTGCGGTGATGGAGTAGTATTTTACTACGTACCTCAACGTTACAGCTAACATTTCAGTTGGTGGTATGCATGTCCTGTAGTTCGTGTTTTGGAGTGTGATGCTATCCTTAATATGATATAGGATATAATCGAACGTAGTCGTGGATATTCTATAGTAGTTAAAATTTCTTGTCATGCTGCCGCAACTTGGCGTGGTGTACATAAAACGCCCCTGTGATGTATCGTTCACGTATTAGCGGATGAACCCAAAATTCTTTGCATCGCCTGCGCCTTCGAAGGTACAAAAGCAGTAGAAGAAGTTGTCGCCGGTTTAACCTAGCCATCACTTTATTTCTTCGAAAACGCGACTACCACGCATGACAGGTGGAACAAACTAAACCAGCGAAATCGGTCGCGGTGGACAAACGATCGCCGTTACGTCATATTAAACTCGGCCCGAAATAATCTCGTTCTCGGTGACGGTCCGGTGACGGCGGCGGTGGACAAACGCCCTTAGGTCAGGCTAGGCTAGGCTAGGCGAGACTCCTCTCATGCACATGTACCCGTCCACATTTTGACCAGGCTCTAGCTAGGCGGCGAGACTCCTCTCATGCATATGTATCAAGCTTACACTTTCACACACTCACTACTTTCTCACTTTTTGCGTGTCACGTGGTATTCGGCCTTTTTGGCATACGTGACGTCACGGGGGGTGGGCAGAGTGAGTTAGAACCGATGTAGTATAACTACTTAAGTGAACCCCGCATCGATTTATGGACCCAAATTACGTCAGTGGTAATGACAAATTTTCGTCACTGCTGCCTTTTTACCGTTTCGATCAGAATGTGATCGATCGGAACTTCAGCCGCATAACTGTACAAAATAGGTATGGATATAATATTGCGACAAACCTAACTTTCGACTTACTCATAGATTGCGAGTTTGAAAATAGAACCAATTCCAAAATTGTTGTACATGATGGCTGCAGTTTTCAAAATTGTGTACTTGGTGGACATTAGACATTGATGACGTCAAGCTTGTTCCTTTCAAGAGGGAAGAGGATGAGGTGGTGTATTGGCTGAAATCAAAAAAGGAATGCAGAAAAAAACAATCTGACGTATACAGCGTGCCGGACAAAAATAACTGTCGAAATATAAAGTTGTTAAAGCAGTGGAACTGCTTTACAATGATGCAGTAAGAGCGGCTGACCTATATACAGAAATGAGCACAGACGAAATTGTGTGTACCACCACAAGGCAAACAAAGGCATCGACTAATGCACAGACCTACTTGAAGTTGGCCAAGGTGAGAGCCAAACAAGATCATCTAGAAAGACTACTTACAACGCCAGCTGCTGCTGTACGTAACCCAAATTCCACGCTGCAAGAAAATGGATGGGGCATCATTTCCAATGGATATCGTTGAAGCCCTAAATCAGTTTGAAAAGCAGATGTTATATACAAGAATAATGTATGGGAGCACTGGAAGGGCATCATTGGAAATGGCTGCAAATGCAAGCATACAAGCTTTCCAGATTTCTATTTACAACGTAAGTATTAGCCACTTTTTATATGAGATGTCTCGTTAAAAACGCCACCGCCAAATATATGTAGTTTCATTTACCAGAGAGACATGAAGTTTTATCAGTATGAAACCAGAGAATAATGTTTTGAAAGAGTAGAAAATATGAAAAGATGGTAGACGTGATATCATAATTGTGGATATCAACTCATTTTGCGCCACTGCGTCCTTTGAATAGCCGGTTTTGCCATTTTGTGCATCTTTGTCGACTAAAAGGGATGCAGTGGCGCACAATGTGTTACTCTCAAAAGTTATGATACCAGACGTACAGGGTGTCCAATAAGTACCACGACAAACTTAAGGAGAAGGTAGACTTTGGACTGACCTCCCAAATAACAAACGCTTACCTATATAAAAGTGTCACCGTTTTTACGATATTGAATTTTTCCTTAAATTATAAAAAAAAAACTAACTTTTTCATCTGTGGTCTTTAGCTGCATGTACAAATAAGGTTATACTTATACTTCATTTTTTCTATAAAATACTTCTAGATAGTTGCTTCATCATATACAAATGCAATGTAGTTAAGATATTAAGGGACCATGATAAAATAAGGACTGTTTAGGAATTTATCACCTGATATGGTTTACTCAACTTTGACCAAGTGTGGTGAAACAAAAATGTACAGGGCTATAACTTCATTTATTGAATAAAAGATTGCTCGTTGAATACAGATTTCAGAACGGTGCCTCACATACTATTTGGAATAGAAAAAAGTGATATTTGTAAGTGTCTGACACACACTACAATGTAATTATTGGATTTAAATTTAAGTTAACGACCAATGTCATGCTAAATAGTACAACGATATTATTAATTGCTCCTGATATTAATTTATGATACCTACTGGAATTCGGACTATAGTCAACAACAATAAAAAAGGGATACATTCTTGTTCAGCGCTACTGATTGTCCAGTTGATAGCGTAAAAACATAGCGAAGATTAGTATAGATAGTTACCTGCTATCTCGCTCTATTGACAACAGTATGCATCCAAGTAGGTTTCTTAATAGGGATAATGCAAGCCTTACACCATCCTTCCTATCGTCCGATCGGCATGACGCTGCCGATTGGATCAGTTAGAACTGATCGTGTGTAGGCGTGGATTGGCATGACCGTTAAATTTGATGGCATAATCAAATTTCAATCCTTTTGGCATGATGATGCTGATTGGATCATGCCGATTGGAGCGTGTATGGCGGTCAGCGTGCGTGAACTGTGAGTTCAGTAGAGTCAAGATGTTTGTCGGTGGTAGACGTCATGTCGCAAAATGCAGCCCGATATCGAAAAATGCTCATGGAGTTTATTTCTATATATCAAAGTGAACCGTGTTTATGGAAAGTGAAAAGTAAAGAATATCATAATAGGTACGTATGTGTCTATGGTTATGTTGTAGTTCAATTTTAGGTTGCAGCCGTCGAGTTGGGACCCGTAGATTTTTTTGAGAAAAATAGATATTCAATATTATTATTTGTTTCAGAGAAAAGAGAAACGCAGCTTTGGATAAGTTATTAACAAAGTATAAAGAAGTAGATGATAGGGCAACTCGCGATATTGTTTTAAAAAAACTCAATTCATTGAGAACGACAACAAAGAGAAAAAGAAAGTGGAGGATTCCAAGCGGTCTGGCGCTAGTGCAGATGCGGAGTATGAACCTAAGCTTTGGTACTACAAAGAATTATCCTTCATAAATGATCAACATTTAGCAAGAGCTTCTATTTTAACTATTGATGACGAAGAAGAAGAGATGGATGGAGAACAGCAGAAGAGCATATAGTAGGTGCACAAAATGAAGAATATTAATGATCTTCTTTGGTCGGTCACTACCATAAGTCAATCGAATTGTTTTGTTTCAGGATTCTGAGAATGATTCGCAACTAAATGAACAATTCCCGCAACCAAGTGAACAATCGGAAAATCATGGATCTACAATAGGCAACTCAGCAAATAGGCCGAAACCAAAAAAAAAGAAATGATGACAGTCTCGTCAACAGTGTTCTTCAATCTGTGAATGACCATTTTAAACGTCCCAGGGGTGAAGTTAGGGAAGATCGTCACGATATTTATTACAAGTCTGTTGCGAGTAAATTACGGGACTTGCCAAGGCAACAAAGAATACTCGTTGAAAAACTAATAAACGGTGTCTTATTTGAAAGCTCAGTGGGGTAATTTGACTCTAGATTATAAAGTTATGTCATCTTCTTCAACAAATATGCATTTTAACCAACAAACAAACTCGCCATCACATCAAATTACTTCTCCCATTCATTCGTCGTATCGAACGAGCCCATCTCCAAACATGCAGCATAACCAACAAACAAACTCACCATCACATCAAATTACTTCTCCCATGCATTCGTTGTATCGAACAAGCCCATCTCTAAACATGCAGCATAACCAACAAACAAACTCACCATCACATCAAATTACTTCTCCCATTCATTCGTCGTATCGAACAAGCCCATCTCCAAACATGCAGCATAACCAACAAACAAACTCACCATCACATCAAATTACTTCCCCCATTCATTCGTCGTATCGAACAAGCCCATCTCCAAACATGCAGTATAACCAACAAAAAAACTCGCCATCACATCAAATTACATCTGCCATTCATTCGTCGTATCGAACAAGCCCATCTCCAAACATGCAGTATAACCAACAAAAAGAACTCGCGATCACATCAAATTACATCTCCCAGTCATTCTTCACAAAACATGCAGAATACTGAACATTTCTCGCAAAACTACCAAGCCCTGGGCTCGGAGATTTTATTGTCAATACCTGAAGATTCTGCAGCATCTTTCGTCACCAATTTTATGCGACTGTAGGTAATAATTAAATAATAAATATAATAAGAAAATATTTTAATGCTAATTTATTTAATAATAAAAACTTATAAAGTAAATTGTGTTTTAAATAAAATTATTCTGTCACGGCACTTTGCCTTCATTGACAAAGTGATTTTGGTATTCTTGTCTGACAATTTTAGCAATATTAAACAGATTTCCTTGATTTCGTCTTTCTAAATTTTCCATGGTTGACCTTGTAGTATCATACCCAGTGTTGACATCAGTCCCGTTGTTGATATTTTCTCGATAAAAGCATCTTGAGGGTGCATATGAATAAGGCACATGCTCCATTAAAAAGTTATGCAAATCTATGGTTCTATATTAACTTGAGTATGAAAAATGCGAAATCGTGAAGATAATATGCCAAATGCGTTTTCTACGATAAGTCTTGCGCGAGATGATCTGTTGTTGAATATTCTTTTGTCGTGGCTGTCCAAATCAGCTTGGAGATATGGCTTTAGCATATCGGTTCTCAATGGGAACGCATCGTCAGCAATAAACACATACGGCAGATATCTTGAGTTACTTTCGATGCTTTCAGGATCTGGAATATTTAACGTGTTATTTTGCAATTTCTCGAAAAACTTGGTGTTTTGTAATACTCCTCCATCAGAAACTCTTCCATTTGTTCCAAAATCTGCCATTATAAATCGGTATCTTGCGTCAACAATTGTCATGAGAACCATGAAGTGTCGTCCTTTGTAGTTGTAGTAATAAGAACCCCTATCAGAAGGTGGGATTTGAACAAGAATTAACTGTAACGATGAGCATATAAATGATTACTTCCTAGCATTAATTCCTGTTCAAGAAGCTACTGGTGTAGCTCTTTTTGATCACATAATACACTTTTTTCACTATATATCGAATACAAAATAAATTGTATCGGATTTGCATGATTTGGGACAAATAATATGATGGGGGGCAAAATTCAGTAGCTAGCAGAATAAGAGAAGCGGTACCAAATATTTTTTTAATGAAATGTATATGATATAGTTTTCATTTATGTGCTTCTTATTCTTGTAAACAGCTTCCACAAGAAATTGAAAAGCTAGGGACGTATACGATTACTTCGCGAACAGCCCTAAAAGAGCAATAATTTCAGGAGTTTGCTAATATTTCTCCGCAAAAAATTTTACATCCTGCAACAACAAGATGGCTATCCTCAGAAGCTGTTGTTAGAAGGTTGCTTGTACAATGTAATGCATTAATTTTGTATTTCATTGATCGATCAAGTCAAAATGTTTTGCAAGCAACCTCCATATTAAATCAGCTGCAGCAACCTGGAACCAAATTGTATTTAGAGTTTTTATCATATGTTTTACCATATTTTACAAGTTCAAATACGTTAATGCAAAGCGAAAAACCTAAAATTCATGTCATATACAAAGAAGTAACAAATATAGTAAAAACAATTATGGGTTGTTATATTGAAGAAAATATTTTGAATAATAAAAATGTATATGAAATAAATTTTAGGAACCTGCGAAACTTTTTGGAGATGGAAGATATGTATTTTGGAGCAATTATAAACTCTAGTTCTTATGCTCCAAATATTTTAAACTCTATAAAAAAAAAGATGCCTTGCTTTTTATACAGAAAGTGTGAAACAGATTTTATCAAGATTTCCTTGAAAAAATTCGGTGTTTTCAAAGCTTGAATTTATTGGTCCACTGGTAGTAGTAAGTAGAAAAATTGAAACTATTCAGATGTTACACATTTCCCAAGTTTAGTGAGTGGGGGGAAATACAGCAGATAGATAACAAATGGAGAATTTTAAGAAATTTGATTTTCACAGACTTTGATTTAACTAGTCAGGAGTAGACTTGATATGCCGATTCTATTCTATTCTATTGCCTCCCGAAAACGTGTTGCTTAATAGAAATGAGTTGACGGAAGGTGTGGTTAATTGATAACTCATCGAACGGGCGAACGAGCAGCAGCGCTATTTTCCCACTTCAATCTCGTCATCTCTCCACCTTAATACGATGATCGACACACGTTTATAGCAGTTCTGAGTCCTCTCAATGAGCATGCCAATTCTAAAACCTCTAATGGTACGTCTACACTATAGATTTTTCCCCGAGATTTGCGCTAGCTAGAGTCGCTTTAGACTAAGTCTATGGTATATATTACTGAGACTGCTCTAGCGAGTGTGGCGTAATACTCTCGGTAGCGCGACGTTAGTCTAGGTAGGGTTGTAGTGGACACAGTACTGAGACTAGTTCTCTAGATCACTCTCGCATTGTTTCGCTCTATTCGATGAGTTAAATAGATTAGTTGGAAGCATGGCTTCCCCACCAAGTATAAATGAGCAAAAAGCTATGAAATGGGACAAAGAAAGTACTCTCAAGCTAATTGAGATGTACGAGGCACATCCAGAACTTTGGAATTGCATATTGAAGGAGTACAGAGATCGGGATAAAAAGGCTCAAGCTATAAAAAATATAGCAGATCAGTTAAGAACCACTTAAGCCGAAGTTGGAAGAAAATGGCATAATTTAAGGTGTCAAATGAATTCGGAGATAAGGAAAATTAAAAAAAACAAAAGTGGAGATGGAACTGATGATAGACTGTGGAAAAGTAAGTGGGAATTTTATGATGCGTTACAGTTCATGATGGGTTGCTCTGGAAGCACCAAAAGCACTGCAAACTTTAGGGATACGGTGAGTAAACATTTTTTCAGCATTAGAAACATATATTACATTAAGCAGATAAAATGGTATTATGCTTATATATATTTATACTGCCAGGCGACTTCACCATGTTTGGATACAAAATAATTTTTAAATTGTTCTCGTACTTCTTTGGCTGTTTTCGATGGGTTTCTAACATTTGTAGTCTGTAAAGGAACCATATTAGCTATAGGATTTCCTCCATTTCTCCAACTCCCATTGATAACGTTCCCATCATTTTCAGTATCAAATATTCCATTTGGGGCATATAAATGTGCCGAACTTTTTTGGGTCAGTAAGAAATTATGCAAAGAACATATTGCAAGTACAATTTTTTTAACCTTCTCTGGAGGTAGGTCTATTGGTCGTCTAAGAACACGAAATCGAGCCGAGATCAGTCCGAAAGCATTTTTTCAACTATACGCCTTGCTCTTGATATTCTGTAGTTAAAAACCCGATTAAATCCGGGTTGGTTTTTGAAAGGAAAAGGTTTTAATAAATAGGAAGTCAAGGCAAAAGCATCATCGGCAATAACAACAAAAGGTGCATCTTCAGATTCACCCGGTAATGGCCTTGGTTTTGGCATGTTTAACATGTTGTTTGCTAATGCTCTTGACAATGAACAGTTTGCATACACGCCACCATCAGATATGCGTCCATTGCATCCGACATCCACATAAAGAAATTTGTATTTTGCATCAACTAATGCCATGAGGACTATGCTATGTGTTCCTTTATAATTAAAATAAAGACTGCCTTTATTCCTTGGTGCTTTCATAACCACGTGCTTGCCATCTAGAGCACCGAAACAGTTTGGAAAATTCCAAATCTCCTCAAATCCCTTTGCAACTTCATACCAATCTTCCTGAGAGTTTGGGATCTAAAAGAAAAAGTAATATTACAAAACTAAAAATAAGCTTATTCGCTACTTTTGTTTTATTTCAGGTTTCGTCGCAAGAGGAAGATTTTCTGGAGTAGTCTCAATTACAAAGCATAGAAAAACCAACAACATCAAATACTACAACTCATCGTTCGAAAAAACTAAAAACCAAAGCCAAGGAAAAAACGGACGAGGAAGGTGATGCACTGCTAGAAAAGGCTAAAAACATACTAAATACACCAACTGACGAGTATACCGTATTTGGTGAATATGTTGCTAGTGAATTACGGCAGCTGCAATCTGATGAACGAAAAAGAAGATTAAAACGAATAATCCAGAAAGCTATAGTTGCAATGAGCGAAGAAGATGAAGTGGAGTTTTCTGGATCAAGAACACTTACACCTTTAATGTCGCCTACTTATTCACATTCGAGTACATACCCATCAACTTCAAATACGGTTGAAAGTTTTGAAGAGGCACCGATAACAAATACAACTACAAACCTTCCTCCAATCACGCAGTTTTACGAAAATTACTTACCTGGAGATAATCCGTTTTCAGCACAGTAAATATCGCTTCACAAACTTTAGGTACAATGCTTGAAATGGTCGTGACTGGAATCCGAAAAAGGTATTGCAGGGAATGATAGCTATCTCCTACAATTAAAAATGATTTAATTAGAAGTTGTTTTTGTTTGTTTTTTAAGTTAAATACATCCTAGAAAACAAATTCATGTCTTTCAATACTCACCTGATGCTAAAAACCGTAAAGTAAGCATGAGCCGTTCTGAAGGTGAAATAGCTAGCCTAAGATGAGTATCTTGTTTTCTAATCAATGGTTCTACTTTTTGAAGCAAGTATTCATAGTCCTTATTACTCATGCGTAAAAAGTTAGCGTATGAATTCATGTCTTCGCTGTGTAATTCTTTCACCAATTGAGCAAAAAAACCACTATCCTGCCTTCTTGAAATCCAGCTCCTAACCCACATCCTTCTATTCTTGTTTTTTAGCTCAACATTTTTTCTCTCCTTCGTTATTAAAATATCAGAGGCAGCTGCAATTTTCTTAATTCGCGACATTTCAAACTACTTCCAACAAACTACGGTGCAATAATGCCTAGACGTTTTTACGAGATCAAATCTACCATGTTATGTACACACCACATAGAGAAATTGGTATAGATTTAATCTAGGAAATATCTATGAAGGTCTAGCGAGGGCCAAAATATGTTATAGTGTACACAGAACATAGACAAGTCTCACCTAGAGAACGTATCTAAATCTAAAATCTAGGTAGATTTTCTCTACAGTGTACACGTACCATTAGAGGCTGGGTTCCCTAGCAAGGACATGTTGTATAATAGACATGAGTCGACGGAAGGTGTGTTTAACTGGTACACCCCCTCCTGCCGATAAATTTGTATCGTATAAATAGCTCGACAGAAGGCATTGTTGCCCTATCAATGAACATTCTAATTATAAAAATGCGATTTCTAAAGGCCCGTATCCATTTGTAACAAATGACCCGTAACGTAACCGCGAACATGTTATGTTACGGCTAGTGGGGACGAAGTACTGTTGCATGTAACCCGTAACCATTTTGACACGCGTAACCGTTACAAGCCGAACCACCACTTTTCGGTTTTCAGCCGTCGCATCAAAGGCCTGCTACGTTACGCGCGGCGACAAGTTGGGACGAGTTTATAGTATCACGTATCTTTTAACCTGTTGCATTCGAGATTTTGTTGTCTTATTGTGAAGTTGTTATGGAGTGGAGTAAGGAGAATATATTAAATTTCATAGAATATTACCATGCAAGAACTATAATTTGGGATCCTCAAGATCCCGATCATTTTAACAAAATTAACCCTGTAATGCTTAGTGGGGTTTCGCATCACCCCAAAGAAAATTCAAATATTCACTAATTTTTTGTGCATAATTTGGCAACATCGGAGATCCCGCTATGTTCATTTGAGGTTAAAGTGTGTGTGTTTGACCATTGTGGGTACTCTCAGAAAAAACAAGATGGAAATTCCTCCATCATTTCTCCCAAACAAACGAAAAGAAATTATGTCTTCTCAATTTGGATTCGACAACCAAAAAACCTTGGTGTCCTTCACACTCAAGAAGTCTAAATCTGTGCTTCTTTTATGGACAATGCATTCTGGTAGTACAATAGATGAAAATAAAAAACCCGAGATAATAAATTTTTACAATTCTACCAAAGGAGGTGTCGATACCTTTGACCAGATGGTGCACACATATTCGGTATCCCGCTAAACACGCAGGTGGCCATTACGCTTTTTTATGGTATAGAGGAGAGTGACCAAATATGGAATAGTATCCCTAATATGGAATACCGGCATTTCTATCAAATGGAAAATGACACACGCAGTAAAAAGTGTTCGTCTCTGTCTTCGAGTCCGCGTTCACGCATACAAGTCGTAGCTTGTCAGTCGAGCGAGCCCGTTCATCACAGTCGCAGTGTTTCGTTTTGTCGCTTCTGCATAACTTTCTAAGGTACGTAAAAAACACGTATTTTTCTTACAAAAAGTGCATACAGTATTGTTCTACTGACTTCTAGACATAGTTTGGATGTTCTTTTGTGGATTTTAGCGGTATTTGATTGTATTATCTTATCAAATATAAAAATTTAAATGTCAGTTTGCAATCGTTGGGAGATCCAAATATGGACGAATCATAGTAGCCAATTATGGAATATTCCGTAATTGGTGCTTTTAAGTATCAGCTGATTTAATGATTCTGTTAATTTAAAAGTATGTTTTCTATTTTTCCTCAGAATGGCTGGCGTCAACTCAAAAACGAAACGAAAAGATTGGAATGCAGGGGACATGGCGCAAGCTATTACATTAGTAAGAGAGAAACAAATGGGTTATTTAAGAGCTGCAAAACACTTTGGTGTGCCGAGAACTACCTTGTTTCGATTATGCCAGAAAAACGAATCACCGCCAGAAGAAGCCGCAGCTACTACACTTGGGAGGAAAACCGTTTTAGGGACAACCGTTGAAAATCTTTTGGTAGACTACATTTTGACGATGGAGAGCAAATTCTACGGCTTGACGAGAAGCGATGTTCGAAGAATGGCGTACATGTTGGCAAAACGTAATCAGTTGAAAAATCCATTTGGTGACACGGGATTGGCTGGAAAGAAATGGCTTAAGCTATTTCTTAAGCGCCATAAGGACAAACTATCAGTGAGAAGACCAACTGGCACATCTTTTGCTCGATCATTTGGATTCAGCAAAGAAAAAGTAGACACATTCTTTGATCTCCTTGAAGGCGTTTATGCTCAAGAAAACTATGATCCACACCGCATATACAATGTTTATGAATCTGGGCTTACCATAGTACAGAGCAAGATACCCCAAGTGGTTGGCCATAAAGGGAAACGGCAGATAGCTTCACTTATCTCAGTTGAAAGGGGTTCATTAATGACAGTTGTTGTTGCTATGAACGTCAGTGGTCATTTTGTACCTCCCTTTATAATATTCCCTCGCAAGAATATGAGTGCTCAGCTAATGAGATGCAGTCCCCCAGGCGCTGTTGGTATTGCACATCCATCAGGATGGATACAAATGAACATATTCACTGACTGGTTCAAACATTTCATTAACCATACCAACCCTACCCCGGAATCGAAAGTATTACTGATCTTGGATGGTCATTTTTCTCGTACTCGTAACATCGACGTGATAGATGTGGATCAGAGACAATAATAGACCACTAAGCCCTTATGATATGACAGAGCTGTTTGGTAGGGCTTATTTAAAAGTAAAAACGGGTGAGATAGCAGCCAACGGATTTCGGGTTACAGGACTATGGCCATTGAATAAAAATATTTTTACCGCGGTCGACTATCTTGCTGCGCAACCTTTAGAAGAATCGATGGTCAATCTTAGAACACCTGCTGAGGGTAAGCCTTTAACTGAAGCTTCTACATCCAGACAAGATACAAATATTGAACCTGTGCCCTCAACTTCCGGAATTTCTCACAGTAGCTTAGGAGTCGTTTCTCCATATGACATCAGTCCAGTACCAAACAAGAAAAGGAAACCTTCTAATAGAGGAAGAAACGCATCTGTTGCAGCAGTCATCACATCGTCACGTTACAGGGAGGATCTCATAGAAAAAAGTAAGAAGAAAGAAGAAAAACAAAATAAATGAGCAAAGAATAAAAATCAAAAACAAAACAAAAAGAAATCAAAAGGTAAAAAGCTGAGAGAAAAGATTAAGTCTCAGTCAGATTCAGATGAGCCCGATGCCTTGATAGGAAATACAGCTCCAGACTCTGAAGATGCGGAGTGTATTTTCTGTGGCATGCTGTTTTCAAATGATACCCATGGGGAAACATGGGTCAAGTGCCTCATGTGTGGGCTCTGGGCACATAATGATTGCGCAGGACCAGAGTCTGATGCCTGGATTTGTGAGTTTTGCAAATAATTTGTGTTCCTTTTTATGTTATACCAACGTTTCCAAAGAATCTCATTTAAGTTAAGGTTAAATTTTGTTGTTATTTATAGTATTCCATATATACCTATTTCATATTTAGATACCTTTATAATTATTTAGTTTTTGTTTTAAATTTTATTTAAAATTTGTCAATGTAACCAAAACTTGTTACAAAATAAAGCGTAAATATATGATTATTATTAATGACTACAAAATATATTTTATTTGTAAAGTTTGTGCAAATTATGTGTGAAAAACAAAATGGTATTCCATATTTGGTCACTCTCCTCTAATGGATCAAGCAGGCATTAACTCCAACATTATTTTCCAAATTGTTAAGCGTGATAGACAAAAAGTGTTCGTCGAAAATACCTATTTGAACTTGGACTACAACTGGTCAGGCCTCATATGGAAAGACGTTTGACAAAACCAATACCTCGAAAATTGAAAGAATCAATAATGAATATTCTAGATATGAAAACAGAAGAAAAAGTTGATCCACCTCCAGCAAAATTGCTAAAACAGACTCGCTGCATTTTATGTCCAAGAACAAATGACCGAAAAACAAAAACTGCCTGTGCGAAATGTTTCAAGGCTGTTTGCAGTAATCATCGAGCTGAAATATGTACCGAGTGTTTGAAATAAATGTTTTATTATTGAAACAATCTTTTATATTTTGTTCATTAAGTAGGAATATATCACTGGGGTTATTGGTAACCCCGTCTAAGCAACTATAGCCGTGCTATTCGCCTAAGCGCTCCAGGGTTAAGAAAGAAGATGCTTGGATGGAAATCGCTAAAGAAGTAGGAAGGTAAGTACCTATAAATACAAATGTGTGTAATATAGACAATTATGTACAGGGCAGTGAAAAAAGTGAACAGAGCCGTTTTTTCTTTGCCTTCGGAATTTCCGCAAAAAATTGAAAAAGCAGTTTCACGTATTTTTATCCGGAGAATCCGAAAATGCCAAAGAGGAAACCATTGAGTCTCAAACAAAAGACGTGCGAAACATATAATTTTTTTTAATTAAACGCCTTAATTTTTATTTTATATTTAAATTGCCATCTTATCTTTGGTATTCTCTGATATAAAATGTATGCATGCCGGTTTGTTTTATATTTCAGTCTCAGCAATTTGAATCTAAAACTTTAAACAAAAGATATTTTGCAAAGTAATAAGCAGATGTTCTGTATAAAATATACCTTTTGTGTACCTGTTTTAAACACAATTCGCTCAAATTACAATATTAAAAAGAACGGTATACACTAAATAAATATGAAATTCGTGAAACTGCTATTTTGAATTTTCTCAGAAATACCGAGGCGAATGTAAACTGTTCTGTTTACTTTTCTCTGGACTTCACTGTAGTTTAATAAAATACAAAAGAAACAAAACTAGTTAATTGTTATTTACCACTATGTTATTCTAATAGAAACTTTTCGATTTTCAAGGAACAGAAGATGTTTACAAAAGCACTTGGTTTGTTTTTACTAGTTCGCAGTTCATTTTGGATAAGAATAAGACAAAGCCGTCATTGAATACTGTAAGTATTTAATAACTTTACACATTATAACTAACTAAACTATGTCTTAACTGTTTATTACATCTAGGTATTTTTTAACAGTAACTTACAATTGTACCTCATCTTTTCTTTTCTAAGCATACTGATTTTGCCACTCTATTTTACCTTCTTTAACCTTTAACTACACGCGTTGGTGTATTTCATACACCACGCGCAGCAAAAATGTTATTGTTTTTTCTAAATCGGCGGCACTGACAACACCGCTCAATCTAACCTATGCTTACTCTTCCCTGAATACCCACCAGCAGTCTTTGCTCAATAGTCGAACAGAGAGGTTAATATTTCATTGATTTAAGGCAAGGAAACCACTTGGTGCACAGAATACACCGCGCGTGTAAGAATGTAAGTATGTTTGAATAATTTTTAATTTGTTGTTTTATTACTAAATATGTGATTTTATAGGATTTTACTCATTTCAATTTATTGATAATAAGGTATAATTTTCTGTTTTAGGGAACGCGTCAATATCAAGGATCCTAACCGTCTTACAGAAGAAGAGCTTCAGACCGTAGCACAAGTTATTTGGGACGATGATTCGGAAGAAGAAGTAGGAGGTAAAGCAGATACATCGGAGGAGGAACTCATTGACCAAAGCGACCACAATTCGGCTTCTGAACAAGAGAGCGATAGCGAAGAGACAAACGTTTCCGATAGTGATGAAGAGGCTGAGAGAGGCGAAGCATATTTTGTGGCGAAGGATAAGGTAACACGATGGAGTAAATTCCCACTTGTGAGTAAATTCACCAAAAGTAGTAAGAAAAATATTGTAAAAATATTTCCTGGACCCAAACAATGTGCTAGAAATATTGCTGATGAAAGGAGTGCATTTGAAACATTTTTTACTGAAGATATCATTGAAATTATTCTTGAATATTCTAATACAGAGATTGAAAAAATGCGAGTGAACTTTGATAGACCCAGAGATGCAAAAAATATTTCGAAGACTGAATTAATGGCATTTATTGGATTATTATATTTAGCTGGACTAAAAAAAGAAAACCATACTCATTTCTTGGAGTTGTGGGTAACAGATGGGACAGGATGTGAAATATTTAGAGCTACTATGGGCTGCAACAGATTTTTGTTTATCCTCAGCGCTCTTAGATTTGACAGCAAGGCCACGAGAACCGAAAGAAAAAAAATTGATAGACTTGCAGCAATTAGATCTATTTTTGAACGTTTTATCAAAAATTGCGAAAATAACTATTGTATTGGCGAACAAATGACAATCGATGAAATGTTAATCCCTGAGGGGCCCTACAGAAAATCAAATAAGCCAACGGATATAACACATCGCTTAGTTGAACAATGGAAAGGAAAAAACAGAAACTTGACATGCGACAATTGGTATAAAAGTTATCCACTGGCAAAAGAGCTGCTTGACCAGAAGGTAACATTAGTAGGAACAATATAAAAAACAAAAGAGAGCTTCCATCAGAGTTTCTCCCGGATAAAAAGAGGCAGGAAGGATCATCGATATTTGGATTTCAAAAAGACATCTCCATTGTATCATTTGTTCCAAAAAAGGTAGAGCAGTAATTTTGTTATCACAAATGCACAGCGATTCATCAGTAGATTTGGAGACGAATAAACCACAAGTCATTTTAGATTATAATTCTTACAAGGGTGGAGTAGATACGGTCGATAAAATGTGCAGCACATATTCTGCATCTAGAAGAACTAGACGGTGGCCATTAGTAATATTTTTTCAGATGCTAAACGTTACAGGAATAAATAGTCAAATACTTTACAATGCGAATCATATCAATGCTTCGCACAAATACAGACGGCAGTATCTAAAGGCGTTATCAATGTCCCTAATTAAACCATACCTTGAGGAAAGAGCGGAAATAAAAGTTTGCCATCTGACTTACAGATTTTCCTTGCTAAATTTAGAAAACCAATGGAGACGTCGAACGAAGAACCGCCATCAAAAATACGGAAAAGGTGCTTTTGTTGCGGGAGACAAAAAAACAGAGTTACAACAATGTCATGTAATACATGCAACAAGCCGGTCTGTAAAGAGCATGCTATCACTATTACAAATTGTAAAACATGCAATAATGAACACAAAAATTCTGAAAGTGAATAGTAAGATTAATTCAATTACTTTGAAATATTTTTCTTTTGTGCATTCTTATGTTTCCGATATATAATAATTTTATATTCATGCATAAAAAACTAATCAAATTTGAAATTTTTATGTTTGTATCCCATTTTGTCTTGTTTGCGTTGTTACACTCGATTTGATTTAATTTTGCCACTTAGATTTCATTTTGAAAATAAAATAATGAATACTTTAAACCCGTTTTTTTATTACAATTTCCTTCGAAGGTTAGTATTCAACATTGGTGTACAAAATACACCAAGCGTGTACTTATGGTATATTTTAGGCCGCGTGTAGTTAAAGGTTAAGGAAATAAGGCTAGTTCATCACGCGAATTTATAAAATTTGACTTTGCTCTACGTGGTATATTTCTCAGAGGTAATAATGAACTGCATTCATCAGATACCATTGCTCTCCAACTCACATTTGCCAGGACACCAGACGGTTCAGAATCAAATGTTCCGGGTGGATTTTAAAGAGCAAGTGAGTCTGGTCTTCGTCGTAAGACGTTATGTAAGAAAGCAACGGTTAACAATAGTTGATGCTTTTTCTGGTGAAAGGAGCATAGGTTTTCGTAATACACGAAAAACAGCTGAAGCTATGCCAAAAACATTTTCAATAACCCTACGAGCTCTAAACACTCTATAATTAAAAATTCTTTGTTTTGATCCTTTTGCATGGTAGCCCGAATATACTTTCATTAAGTTATCTGATATCGCAAAAGCTTCATCTCCAAGAAAAAAATACGGTATCTTTTGTGCTCTCCCATTAAGAGGAGTAGTGTGAGGGATGTTCAGCGTTCTGTTTTCCATTTTTTTGTAACTACAAGCAGATACATACTAGTAAATACTCCACCATCAGATATTCGGCCTTGGCATCCTACATCCACAAATATAAAATTATAGCTAGCATCTACCACTGCAAAAAGAACTATGCTGAAGAATCCTTTATAATTGATGTATTCACTGCCACTATTTATGGGACATTGCAGTATAATGTGCTTTCCATCAACTGCTCCAGCACAGTGTGGAAAGTTCCATGTTGTTTCAAAATCGTTACTCACATTCTGCCATTCTCCTTGTGTTTTCGGAATCTGTAAAAAAACACAATATTAAAAAAAAAAAGATTTTTGGAAAATTGGGGGTCCGGGAGAGTCTAGCAGGTGGGAGACAATAGCCGCTGCTCATAGAATATTTGTGGCACGAGATGTTACGACATTGCCACACTTCTCAGACGTCATAGGCACCTCCCACCCCGCTCACGTAGCGCCGTTACAATCGGCAGTTTGGTTTGGAAGTAAGAAGTGGCAACACGTTTTCGTACCTGGAAAGTGAGTTTATTCAGTTTTCGACATTTGATCTCTGTTCTTTACTGTGGATAGATACCAGCACGCCACTTATATACACCGTAAGTGTAATTATTCTAGTCATATTTACGACAGCCAGCTTTTATTCAAGTGTCATAGCTTTTTTTTAAATTTAATAACTGGTAGTATGGCGTGGAGTGGGAGACATTACCCTGGCGTTGGGAGGAGACTTTACCCAGGGTAATCTCTCCCTCTCTGTCAGGGTCGTTTCTCCCGCAATAAATTTTATTCATTTTATTTCAGAGAATGCCCTTCAACTATAGAAAAAACAAACAACTAGAAAGAGAAGCAATTTAGATCTGTCAGTAATAAAAAATGCTTTAGGTGACATTGATCAAGGAAAGTCTATCCGAGGTGTTGCTTTGGAGTATGGAATTGACAGAAATACCTTAAGAAATTATTTAAGAGACAGGTCTAAATTGACTAAAATAAGTGAACAAGGAAGCCAGTTTAAAACATCTATGATATTTACAATCGAAGAAGAGAAGGCGCTTGTTGAATATCTTATAGCTTGCAGCAAAATGAATTATGGATTAACCAGACAGGCGACTATGCAGCTAGCATATGAATATGCAACAATGAATTCCAAAAAGGTTCCAGATTGTTGGACTTCCAACAACTGCGCAGGAAAAGATTGGTTCCGGGGATTTATGACAAGAAACCCTGAACTAAGTTTGAGAACCCCAGAAGCCACCAGTTTATCCAGATCAACCAGCTTCAATAGAAAAAACGTTACTGATTTCTTCGAGAACCTCAAAGAAGTTAGAGAAAAATACCAATTTGAAGCACATAACATCTATAACTGTGATGAAACAGGGTGTACGACTGTACAAGAGTGTCCCAAAGTAATAGCGAGCAAGCATATGCGTCAAGTAGGACAAGTTACTTCAGCTGAACGCGGCAGCCTTGTGACCGTTTGCTTCGCTGTGAACGCTCTGGGAAATGTTCTTCCTCCATTTTTCATTTTCCCTAGGGTTAGATACAACGAATGCTTTGTAGCTGGTGGGCCTCCAGGCTCACATGGTGACTCCTATCCTAGTGGATGGATGACAACCAAGAGTTTCGTAAAATTCATGGAGCATTTTGTGAAATATTCGAACGCATCTCTTAATAACCGAGTCCTGCTTATCCTCGACAACCACGAAAGTCATATCAGTGTTGAAGTCGTTAAATATGCAAAATCAAATGGAGTCACTTTGCTGACTATACCCCCCCACTGCAGCAGAAAGCTACAGCCATTAGATGTTTCCGTCTATTCATCTTTCAAGACTAGATATAATTCAGCCATGAATAACTGGATGATCAGTAACCCAGGACGAACTGTTACGATCTACAATATACCTGGATTTGTAAACACAATCATGTCGCAGGCTTTTAGTCTATCCAATATTTTGAGTGGATTTCGATCAACTGGGATACACCCCTATAACCCGGACATCTTTACAGATGACGACTTTTTATGCTCTGCGGTAACAGATAGAGAAATGACTAGTGAACTCCAAAAGCAAGATGTTTCTTCGATTACTTCACCCTCGGTCGCTGCAAAAGTACCATCAGATTCAACCACGGTCGCATTACCTTCAACATCTACTGTACGTCAGTCAGAGCCTTCAACATCAGCATCAGTATTCACGAATGAAACTGCAGCTCCTAGAATCAATTCACCATCAATTTTGACTGCGGAAGAATCCGAGCAAGCAAATACAATACCAAGACGATCAGCAGAGATAGCTTCTACATCTAATGTTCTGGATATGACAACGGTAGATTCTGATTCCGGACACACACCAAAAATAGTTTTACCACAAACAATTCGACCATTTCCAAAAGCTACTTCTAGAAAAAGTCTTCGTCGTGGTAGATAGCCCGGAAAAACTAAAATTTTAACAAAAACGCCAGAAAAACTAGACCAAGATGATAAGTATGCACCGAAAAATAAGAAAATTAAAATAACTACGAAAAGGCAAACAGGCAAAGCAAAGAAAAAGACAGTAAAAAGACAAGTTTTACAGTCAAGTGACAGTGAGACAGACCTTGACGAAGAACCCAAGTATGATGATAGTTCTGATAGTCCCTGGGATGAAGTACCAGATGTTACTGATAATTGGTTTTGTTTCATCTGTGGGGAAGACAAAGTTATGGACATGAGACTTTGTGCTGTTTGTGGCAAATATGTCCATGAAATGTGTGTTGGACTATCCAAAGACGATAAGGAGCAGTTTATTTGTCCCAATTGCTCCAATTAAAAAAAGTAAGACTGATGAAGGTTGTTATTATCTTTGCTCTTAATTTTGAGTGTTATTTTAATTTTTGTTTTACTGACAACATACAAGGTTTTTAAGTTTAAACTACTTATAAGGTTGACTTCCTGTTTCTGATGGAGAGTATGACTATTTTATAAGTAGATTTTGTTATCTTGTTATGTATTATTTTATTTTTGTTCTTAATTTTGAGAATAACTCTAATTTTTATTTTGCCGACAACGTACAAGATTCCATACCAAAAAATAATTTGTATTACCTACTTTTAAGCTTTAACTACTTATAAGGTTTGTTACCTAGTTATGTGAAAGATGGAGTAGGTTCAGGTAATACTATGTGCCATATTTTTTTAATTAAATTTATAGATTTACAATGTGTAATGATTATTTTGCCTAATCCTAAAGTGGAGGGTAAAGGCTCCCTACCCGAGGGGTCAAGTCTCCCACCCATGCGGGAGATATTGGCCGAATGTCACCTTGGCAGAAATCGTTGATAACTCGTAAACTCTTAATGCTACATTAAGCTTTCTTGAGAAAAAATGTAGCTAAATAATGCGTTCTAAGATATAATTTATCGGGAATGAAGATTTATAAGCGTGTAAAGACTTAAAAGCATTTTAGTGGAAGGTGGGTATACTCTCCCGGACCCCCCTACAATATTTATAAATACGGCGTCATTCTATAGATATATTGAGAATTTGTATTTTGTTTTCAGTTGCAGATGCATTTATGTGAAGATGAAGAAGTTTGCCATCAAGAAGGAACTGGATCTACTGTTGAAGATGAAGCATCGGCTAAAGTGGATGATCCTGCATCTCAAGAGAAAGAATCTAGCAACATTGCGGAGAGCCCTCAAATCAAGAGAATTATTCAGTCCTAGGGAAAGAACAGAACAAAGGCAAAATCAGCCATGTCTAGTGGTACCGAGAGTGGTACCGAACGCCTTGATCAAGCCTCCCAAACTCTCCAATCCGCAGCCAAGCAAATCAATACCAATCAAGATGAATGTTACTACTTTGGAAATTTTGTAGCTTCCAAACTTCGTGCATATGACTCATTTACAAAAAGCGCTATTGAAAATGATATTATGAATATATTTCAGATGACTAATCAAGGCCGATATAATATCGCATATCCGCGTCCTCCTCATATACGCCATACAGTAGGTAACCCAGTCATTGTACCTGAAAACTACTCAAATAATCCTGGTTCCTCCCACTTGTCATACAATTCACAAAATACTTCTATCTATAATTCACAAAATTTCACTCCCACAGTACCATTACCAAGCACTTCTACGTCATCAGAGATGTCACACAGTTCACAGAATTTTCACGCCTATGACTCAGAAAATCTTTCTCCCTCGCCTATTCCAGCGTGTTCTCCAAAGAATTCCACATATTCCGATGATTTCAATATTCAAGACTTAGTCTAGATTTATTTTATATGTAATGTAAATCTAGATAACACAACAAATGTGAATTACAGAACTACGGAAAATGTATGTATACAGTATGTCAACGTGTTAATAAAAAGTTGAACGTAAAACGTATTACTATTTACTATTTGTATTTTTTTTATCTCAATTATTTTCACCATTAATCATGCATATTACCACACATAAATTTCAGATAAATATAAAAAATACAAAGTGAATAAATAAAAAAATAATGAAATCAAATAACAAAATAATATGTCTAAACTGAAAATTTTGAATAATACGATACAACTCACTTACCTGAATGTAGTTCTTCAGTGTGTCTATAAGGGCATCACATACTTCAGGGATAATTCGGCTAATTGACTGCTTAGATATTTTAAATAGATATTGGAGGCTAACATATGAGTCGTCGGTAGCCAAAAAACGCAGAGTTAGTGCCAACCTCTCCTGTGCTGCAATTGATTCACGAAATCTCGTGTCTCTTCTGGAAATCAATGGACCAATTGTGTGTGGGTGCGTGGGTGTGTTTGTGTGTGTGTGGGCGCGCGCGTGAGCGTCAGGATTTCACATAAATACAGTGGCGCCTGCTACATTACACTAGTTGAGTTCTTTAGTACCAGCACATTTTATCCCCATAATCAATATTATTATGGAAGCAGCTACGAATAATCTAGATGACATTGCAGTCCTTCATAATGACTTGGATGCAACTATAGCTGACCCGAAAGGCGACGGAATTCAAATGACTCAGATGATAACTGACATAGAACTCCAGGAATTCATTCAACTTAGACCTGCTGTAGCTGCCAATGTAGAAAATACAACGGATAACCCTACAACAACGCTCCAGCAGTGAAGGCTCACATGTCGCCTTCAAAATCGTTAAACCAGATGAAGCACGTAATTGAAAGAACAAAGAAAACCACCACCAAGCAGCCGCACAGTCGAACTGGTAAAAATGCTTTTCAAGAAAGTATAATGCTAATGAAATCTGACATCCAGAGAATTCCGAAAATTGGCGGTGGAAATGGATAAGAGCCAAAAACTTCGAGATCTTCTTCATCAAGACGAGGAACTTCTAAAACAGTTAGACGAGGACAGAAAGTACGTGAACAGAAAAATAGGAGGAAACGGCAAATGGACGGTGCGATGAAAAGGGTTGACAACTTGAACGAAATAGCACAACCGAAGAGGGGCAAGCTTTTAGAAGAAAAAGTAACACCTTTAACATTTTTACTTTTATTTGATTTTTGCAAATGTACATATCCCAACTAGCAAAGTAGTGCTATAAGCTTTTGGTAAAAGAACCGTTTAGCCATAAAAGCTCTCTATTGTTGTTGCCTGAACACCAAAATGCTGGCTTAATGTTGTGTGGAATACAAATTTGCTTTCTGCAACATATTTGCTCTAAAATGAGGTGTTTAAAATATTCTTATAGCATAGTTATACAACACCTTATAGGTCAAATTGTTAACTGTTGCATAAACGTTTATACAACTACTTTATACGGCAATTTGCACGTTAGGCCGTCCGCACATGGCACGACTGATATGCAATCGTAGTTGTCGAAAGGTTGCGCGACCAACTGCTCAGCGATCCGCTAGCATGAGTGAATAGAACGCCGCACACGGCTCGACCGGTATGCGAGCGATTTGAAATCAGTCTTAGTTCAGTCGCTTGCAACCTGATTTGCTGGTCGAGAACAACTGAGGTTGTGCAATTCTGGGGAACATCTTTATTAATTTGCGTGGTTTTGTTTAGGGCTGCAAATTTTCAGATTGTTGAAAATGAGTGATCAGTTAGTAAATATTAAGTTAGTACATCAAGTGGAAAAACACGAAGTATTGTATAATTATAACCTTCCTGGATACTCAAGACGAGATGTAACGGAAAAAGCGTGGAGTGAGGTGGCGAAAGAAGTGAGCATGACAGGTATGTACAATGCGTTTAATAATATAAATTAATTAATGAACAACATATATTGCACATTAATTGACAAAACGACGGAACAAGATATTGTGTAGCAGGACAACCAATATATTTAATCTATAAAAAAGTAAATAAGATATCAATTTTGATAAAAGTATATATGTAACAACAGTTTTATCTGCGTTACTACTTTTGTACAGTAAAAATCAAATGTCTCGGACACAATAATTCCACTGCCAGGGCAGAGAGGCATGAGGAGACAGAAAATAATTAGCAATATAATTTCTGAGGGCAGTTGGTGTTGCATCCACATTTATTGTTAAATCTGCCATTGGTATAATTGTGTTATTTTGTGATGTTCCTGTCATTTGAACTGAAGATGCTGTATACTCAATTCCTTCTCGAGCGCGAACAAAGTTGTGTAAAACGCAAACGGCTTTTATTATATTGCTGACTGTTCCCAGATCTCGGCATAGTATAGGACCGTTTAGGACCTGAATCTTTTCTGCTGCCATCCCAAATGCGCATTCAATTGTTTTTCTCCCTCGGCTCAATCTATAGTTAAAAATGCGTTTAACGTTGTCTAGTGTTCTTTTTGGATACGGTCTCATTAAATATCGTGTTAATGGAAAAGCTTCATCCCCTACAAAATAGTAAGGCAATGGGACTCTTTTTTCATCGTGCGTTAAGGGGGAGGGTGAAGGAATCTCAAAATTGCCTTGTGTTATCCAGTACTTGATTCTAGAAGCACGGAAGATCCCTCCATCGCTGTTTCTTCCTGCGTAACCTGGTTCTATCATTGTAAAAAGTCCATCTGCATCACAACATGCCATAATGATAAGATTTATAATTGAAGTATTCTGAACCAGTGTTAGCAAATTTCTGTATTCGGATATGTTTACCGTCTATTGCCCCGATGCAGTTGGGAAGGTTCCACAAGAACTCGAAACGATCTGCTATCGCTTTCCATTTTTCAACCGTTGGTAAAGGCATATAGGTGATATTCAGCACATCCCAGATTATTTTTGTTGTTTCTTTAACGATAATACCAACTGTGGTCTCCCCTCTTGCGAAGTATAAAGAAAGCGATACAAACGTGCAACCCGTAGCCAAGTACCTGTAAAAACATAGAAATATGAAATTTAAAAAAAGGTATTAATAAATTGTTATTTATTGACTATTATAAGGTATTTCCCTACGATATCTATAATACATATAAGTTATCTCTCATGTTTTCTTTTGCGTAATTTCCATTTTTTGCTTCTTTAATAATTAAAAAAAACTCTTTTTCCAGTTGCTGAGTGCAAGGAAAAATGGAGAAACCTTCGTACAGTTCTTTCTCGAAAAATGAAATGCCCTCCAAGAAAGCTTATTACTTGGCTGATGTAATGCAGTTTGCTGTGCCATTTATAAAGACAGCCATTCCTCCTTCACCTGGAAATTTGCCAGAGATGCCTGAACAACAGACAACCCAAGTACTATCACCCTCAACTAGCGATTATGATGAAAGTATTGCAGAAAATGATACAGAACCTGCATCGTTCTCACAGCAGCCCTCATCTCCATTTTCTCCGCCTCCGCCGCCACTACAACAAACAGCACAGACTAAACGAAACACAGAGGGAAAGTCTTGTCAGAAACAAAAATTTAAGGTGGCCTCACGGCGGAAATGTGAAGAGGACGCAGATGTGTCTATCGCTGAATATTTTACAGCTAAGAAGACTAAACTGGACCAAAATCAACAAGATGAAAGGAAAGAAAGTATTAAAATGTTTTTGTTAAGCCTGATACCCGATTTGTGTCAGTTGAGTGATGTACAAATAAGGGAATTTAAGCGAAGAGTTTTGAATATTATCGACGATATTGAATTGAGTGCAGTAAGCCCCACTGAAAATACTACTGCTCGCTGCCAAAGTGGATCTGTGACATATTCTAATTCATCAAGTTTATCAGCAGTATCAGTTCCATCGACTCCTCATAATATTCCTCCCACAAGTCAGTATTATGAGAATTTTAGACATTCTCTGTCCCCCACTGAGGTCAATACCTACACTATTATTGATGACAGCACAACTTAGCAAGTTGCGTTCTTCCTTTTTTAAATGTTTAATTGTATTAAGCTTAAATATAATACTTACCATAAAGTGATTAGTATTCTTTCCTCTGTGCTCACACATTCTCGCATATTTGTGTTCATCTTTGATAGGAAAGGGCTAAGCAGCTTAAGTAATTCCAGGTAAGAAGCTTTGGACATTCTGTAGCATTGCACGAATTTGACATCTGTTTCGGCTAGCTCGTTAGCTGCCATGAAAAACCTGCAGTTTATGTTTCTTTCAATATAAGGATGACACCACAGTTTTCTTCGAAGCCTTCGTTGTCTTTTGTATCGGTAATAAATAAGCACGTCTTCTTCCTCACTACTAGACATATCTCACAGAAATAGAAGAAAATGTTAAAAAAACTGCATCCGTACTGCTCTCATGTTTGAGCTGGTTGTACGATACCAATTCAAATTCAGTCGTTTCATGTGCGGACAAGTGCAAGCAATATGAAACTATAATTTTAAAACAATTGCGTCGCTTGGCAGTTGATCAACACGTATCGCGACCTGGTTGCGTCGTGTGCGGACGGCCTTAGTCAAAATGCTTGTGTTGTGGCATCCATGGTAATGTAACAAACCCGAGCCTTTCGTTTTGCTGTGCAAATTTACTACTTTAGCCAACAAATTGGTCCCGACAGAAGCACTTATACAACGTTTGCTTAGTAACTGTTAAAGGCTGTACATATGCTAAATATGTTGGTATACAACTCCATCATAACCTAAATTTCTGCTGTCATATTTTTGTTAAAATGCCACAACCATTGTTCTAAGACAAACAACGCATGCATAGTGGTTCAGAAGGTTTTATCAGGTGTTATCAGCTGTTCAAACAGAACATATAGATCTGGTACAAATTCTGGGTAAATCATTCGACTCTGTCGGTATTTCATTTCATACATTTGTCAAATTATTGTATAACACCTGCAGGCAACACCATAATATTCTAATGAACTAAAGACAACATGGACGATGCCATGATTATACACAACCACCGGCCATATTGGGCAAACATTTATTCCAATATTTAATATTAAATAATTATGTTTCAGTTCGAAAATACAGATATAAAGTGATAAACATTGGTGTAATTGTGTCTAAATATAGGATTTGTGGAAGATTTAACGCAGATAAGTTCAGTTTTCCATCTTAAAAATCTAGATATACTTTTGATCATTATTAATATATGAATGAAATACGCAGCCCGTAGAAGTTGCGTAACTACTTTGCACGATAATCACAATAAAATTTGCTCCGCAAGTAATTCAATAACCCTATATCACAGTGTAGACGTTTATCATATACCTGTGTATGAAATTCACAATGGCGATATACAGGGTGACTTCGAAGTTGAGTCATTTATTTTAACAGTGAGTAGATCTGATCAAAAGAAATGTTTTTTTCCTTTACCATTTTTCTGGTAAAATTAAAGTAACAAAGTTATAGCCCTTTGGAAGTTTGAGTACCGCCCTGCCTATTATATGCTCGTGTTTGGCGACAACGGATATAATCCGCCTGACCGGTTCATCGCATCGGAAACAAAAAAGCGAAAGAATTTGAAACGTTTCTCACGATGTTTTTCGTCAGTCGATAACGCGTAAGTGAATAGTAGTGTGTTGCGTGGCTCAAACGAAATCAAAAATGGCACATGTTTACGAAAATGCTGAACTTGTGGACATGATTCTTATTTACGGGGGGGCAGTCTTTACAAAATGCTCCCGGATGCATCACGGGTTTATGCGAATCGGTTTCCCAATCTAGTGCAACCAACCCCTCGTGCCTTTGTTAATGTAGTACAAAGGGCTCGTGAATCAGGTGACTTAAGACCTCACAGGTGAGGGCATGCTGCTCCAAGACCGCACGATCAAATACAGGTCCGCACTGAAATACTTGTCGGGAGGATACTTTATTAAACAAGGTAACATTTTTTTTTATTTTTTTTTATTTTTACACACATATTTTGGTTTATCTTCCTTCTACAATCATTATCTGAAAATTAATGACTCAACTTCAAAGTCACCCTTATAACTAAACAAGATGACTGTAATGTGTTAGTTATATATTCTTCACTTCGTCTATACAATACATAAGAAGTAGTTTGGTTGCAATAAAGTAGAATCACGTACCTGCAGCCCTTATACAACCTCTTAAATGACTGAAGTGTCCTATTAGGGTACAAACATAGTGGAACGACGAGGCTAGAGGCATAGCGACGAGGTAAGCGACGCGGCTTTTATTTCATCGTGTATTGTAATGAAACCAAACATAGTAAAGAGGTTGACGCAGTACTAAGCGACGAGACAAGCGAGGCGATACGCGTCGAGATAAAAATTATATTTATTGCCGCGTTGATGCAGGAGTGTGTTCATATTAAACGTCGGACGTACGTCGGGTGCACACCAGCCGCACACGGCAAATGCGCTGGTGTGCACCCGACGTACGTCCGACGTTTAAGGGTACGAACATAGTGGAGCGACGAGGTTTCAGATTCAGATAGAGGCTAACCGCGCGGTTTGCCGCTATGTGAGTCAAAAACACAGGTTGAAACCTGTCGGGCCATAGTAGCGCGATAAGGCATGCGTCGAGTCTCTAGGAGGTTTCGAGCGACGAGTTTTAAATAGTTGCATTCAATTTTTGTCACGCGTTTTCAAGCGATTTAATAATGGATGTTGTGCAATTAATAAATAGTGTATATCACAGAAGGGCTATATGGGATCAGAGTCATCCAGATCATCGCAACCGATACGTGCTAGATAAGTTATGGGAGGAGGTAGCCAATGAATGCAATAATCAGTCGGGTAAGTAAATAATTGTATTTTATACACATTTCAACAGCTAGAACTTACATCTTGCGGTAAAATTTTAAGCTGTCTCGTAACTGATTGGAAAGAAATTAACATAGTTACAGAAAATGTCGCGAACTCTTTGACCTTCACCCAGTTGCCTTCCTCTAGGTAATTCAAACATCTGATCTCTAGGAACTGCATCAGTTACTAATGTTAAATGTCGTTGAAATCCCTCTCGGTCCAGTATTGTATTATGCAAAATGCATATCGCCTTAATGATATCATCCGCAGTCTTTTCAGTAGTCTCTATAGCTTTGGACAGAAGACGCCACTTCGCGTACATAATTCCAAAGGTGCACTCGATAGTTTTGCGTGCTCTGGACAATCTTTGGTTAAAATTTATATGTTCCAAAGAGCGGTTCCTTCGATTGTATGGTTTTAGCAAATTGGGCATTAGTGGATACGCTTCATCTGCAATAAATACGTAGGGAGCGCGGACATTTGTTCCTGGTAAACTATCTGGATTTGGCACATTTAGTTTGTTTTGGTGTATCCGTTTGTACAAATTGGAACTCTGAAACGTTCCCCCATCGCTCTGTTTGCCGTAACCTCCGACATCTATCACAAGCAATTTGTAATTTGCGTCGCAAACTCCTTGTAGGACGATAGAAAAATAATGCTTATAATTGAAGTACATGGATCCGGAATGTTGTGGTGCTATAACTTTGACGTGTTTGCCGTCAACAGCTCCGATGCAATTGGGGAAGTTCCATACTTTCATGAAGTCTGCACTTACATTTAAAAATGTTGCCGTAGTAGGTTCTGGCATGTGAAGTGGTTGCAGCATGTTCCATAATATTTTAATCATATGTTTTATAATGCTCGCAACAGTACTCCTGCCCATTCGAAAGGAAAATGCCAAGTGTCTAAAGGACGCTCCTGTTGCAAGATATCTGAAAATTTTTGTTTGTTGCAGTTAAGAAAGTTTCTGAGAAGTGGAAAAATCTACGTGATTATTTCAGAAAAGAACTGAAGAAAATACCTCTGCCCCGGTCTGGTGATCCAGGCGAAGAGGCTCTTAAAAAGAGCTCCTGGCCTCATTTCAAAAGTTTATTGTTTCTGAGAGACCAGTTTCTGCCGAGATCCAGTCATAGCAACCTGTTGGATCCCGACAATGACACACAAGTTTCGACACCCTCTACGCAGATGGATGAAAATGATGGTGACTATGACGAAGACGAAATGGACGAAACGCAGGGTGTAGAAACGCAGGAAACAGAACCCGACCACACAGAATCAGTCACTCCAATTCAAAGCACACCAAAAGAACCACGAACTATTCTAAAGAATAGGGCCCGAAAACGGTCAAATCAACTTGACGCTTTTCTTGAGATAGAGAAGAAAAAACTACAATATTTAGATGAGAAACGTGTCGCTGCAGACCGTGGCAGAGCCCTACCAGTCACAGATGACGATAAACTGTTTTTTGATAGCCTTTTGCCCCACGTGGTGAAAATTAGGCCTCATCGAAAACTTCAGTTCCGCAATGAAATTCAAAATTTGGTTCAGAAGTATGCCTATGAAGAGTACTCGAACAATCAGTCCACCATCAATGTCAGTCATTCTGTTAATCATAGCCCGACATATACATCTCAACCACAAACATCGTTTGCACATTCATCCCATTTGTTGCAGGGGTTTAATTACGCAGATCAGTAAACATTATAAGTTATTATAAGTTATCGTTCGTTGTGTTCAGAAGACAGAATATTATTTTGCGTTACCGTTTGTTTGTTTATGAATAATAAAAGTATTATCCTTAATACATAATATTCTCTTACCGAATTGTTACCACCAACATTTCTTCGGTTCCTATAGGCGCTTGATTCAAATTTGTCCATTTCTTGTTGATGCAGGGTGTAACTTGTTCTAATATATACTGAAAGGTGGCAAGTTCCATTCGAATGTAGTCAAATAGCCTGTCGGGATAATTTTTCAGTTCTAGAAATAAATGATGGAATTCCCCTAGGCGTTTCCGACTTTTATTTACGTCGTGCACACTACACTGCCGCACTCCAGTCATTAAAAGCACTTGCAGGTAAGTATTATTGAGAAGAATGTCATCGTCACTGTCGGAATACATATTTTTACGTCTATCTTCGACAAAACGCGACGCTCTACTATAACCATAGGTGCCTCTTGCCTCTACGCTCTAGACGCTACCAGATATCTGAATCTGAAACCTCGTCGCTCCACTATGTTCGTACCGTAAGGGTACAAACATAGTGCAACGACGAGGCTAGAGGCATAGCAACGAGGTAAGCGACGCGGCTTTTATTTCATCGTGTATTGTAATGAAACCAAACATAGGGTACAAACATAGTGGAACGACGAGGCTAGAGGCATAGCGACGAGGTAAGCGACGGTATAAGCGACGTGGCAGGAGACATGCACATAGTAAGGAGACAGATTTTGCGATTTGTAGCTTTGACGTTCCAAACTTAAATCAGTATAAACAATGTTATCCGACAGTGAAGATGAAATTTTATTTGATAATGCCGCGCTTCGTGGGCTTATTGCAATGGGCGGTTTAGACAGAACTTGTTCTGTACATCCTATTAATAAGGCGCGCAAACGGTTTGGTCAGTACCATACATTATTTCTTGAGCTCAAGCAGCACCCAGACCGATTTTTCGAATATTTGAGAATGAATATTGGCACTTCCAACTACATTTTGGATAAGGTTTCTCCATACCTTCAAAAAAACTGGACAAACTACAATTACTTTAAGGTAAGTTGAATGTAGAAAAACACATAACATTTATTATCAAACTCATTTAACAAAACAATCTTAAACACTGGAAAATATGAACTAAAAATAATATATTCTAACCAACACAAACTAAGAAATATGCATGTAATAAAATGCAGCACATTGTGAGGAAACGAAAGTTCAGTAAGAGGTGTCGCTCTGATTGATCTGATAATCGAAGGTTTGCAACCCTTGATTCATTTGATTAGTATAGCCATACACATATCTCTGAACTAGATCTTGAACGCTATTTCTAAACTGCAAAATATTGTTGTCCGGAATTTTTTTTACGTGTGGCAGTAAACTCTTAAAAAATGCCAGATGATCATCCTCTTTGGTTTCCTCTATGTTGGCTCTCTTTATTCTGATGAATTCCAATTTCTGTTTTTCGATGGCCACTAAATCAGCAATATTATTTTTTCTTTTACGGAGTCGGCTTTTCAAAACTGTTCGGGGTTCAGCAAAATGACTTGACGTGCCTGTGGACGAGTCCTCAACATTTTCTGAAGAAACAGAAGTAGGTGTCGCTGGCTCGACGTTCAGGGTGTCTTGCATTTCGTCTATTGTTTCCGTCTCTACTCTATCATCATCAGAATTCACATCAGATTGCATGTCCGTAGCAAGCAATTCATTCTGAGAATCTACCAAATTTCCCGTTGATACTCGAGGCTTAAACTGATCTTTTAAAAATAGCAAACTTTTAAAATGTGTCCAGTGGGATTTAGTTGCAATGTCTCCTGGATCTCCTGACCGTGGAATCGGAATTTTTTTCAGTTCCCTTCGAAAATAATCCCTTAAATTTTTCCATTTGGTTTGAGCCGCCTTCACTGAAAAGATAAATTGTAATTCAGTTACGAAAAGTAATAATTTTTACATTGATTTTCGCTGTCAAAAGTGGTTTATTTCAACATTAGTGTTGAAATAGAATATCAGTGCTAAAATGAGGTAACTAGTATTAAAATAGGTTTCTCTTTAACACAGTCGAATCAATGTCACGAGCTAAAATTTATTTTTTCCGTACTGAATTATGAAAACAATTTGAATGAAACACGATACAAAGCAGCTTGCTTTTTGCACAAGATCTACATGTCTAGTGCAGAAAACAAGTTTAGTTTGCAAATAGTTACATAATCAAATAGCGATTTTGTACTTCAATTACTGAAACAAATCTTTTTGACATTGTCTTTTATTGTCGAAAGTAGTATATTTTAACACTAGTGTTAAAATAGAACACCATGCAAAATAGCTGATATTCATTGTGTTTTACACATGTTGTGATGAACCACTTCCTATACTCTCGTTTAACAATCTTCATATCTAGTGCTAAAAAAGTAAATACTCGCTCATTTTTCAAATTGTTACAGCTATTTAGCTATTGAGCTATAACTGATGTTTCCATTGCAGATATTTAGCTACAGGAGAATCTTTCAAAAGCTTATCATTCACTTTTCGCATGGGAGCTACAACGGTTGGCTCAATCGTTAAAGAAGTTGTTAACGCTATATGGAATATATTACAGCCAATACACATGCCAGTTCCAACACAGGATGATTTCATTAAAATTAGTGAGGATTACATGAACATCTGGAATTTTCCCAACTGTCTAGGTGCCTTGGACGGGAAGCACGTAAAAATCAAATGTCCCAGCCATTCAGGAAGTATGTTTTTTTATTATAAAAAATTCTTTTCGATCGTTCTTCAAGCAGTCTGCGATGCAAATTATCGATTTACTGTAATAGAGGTAGGAGGATATGGACGACAATCCGATGGGGGCACCTTTCAAAGTTCTGCTTTGTTTGAACTACTTTCAAAGAAACAATTAAATGTACCACATACGCAAATTCGCATGCCATTTGTTTTCATTGCCGATGAAGCATATCCACTACAAGAAAACTTGCTTAAACCATATAGTAGACAAACTCTTAATCCTGAAAGGCTGTACTTTAACCAGCGATTGTCTAGAGCAAGAAAGACGATTGAATGTTCATTTGGTATAATGTATGCAAAATGGAGAATATTATCCAAAGCCATAGAAACAGACGAACAACTAGCCGACATTATAATCAAGTCAATTTGTATTTTACATAACGTTATCATGGATAAAGAGGGCTTCGAAAGGCATTTGGCATTAATCACAGAAAGTGCTGCAAACAACAATTTTGCCAGACCAAATTGGAACGCAAGAGGTTGAATTCCCAATCAAGCAATTTTTATACGTGACACATTCAGAGATTACCTAAATACTTTCCCTGTGCAATATCAGTGACTCTGTGTACAAAATATATGTTACTTAAATTTACTTGCCTGTTATTTCACATTCTGTAGCTACTTCTGCCCAAAGTTCATCTAATACATAGCGATTTCTATGATCTGGATGAGAAGCATTCCATAATGCACCCCTCTTGAACACGGAGATTATTACATTGACTTGCTCTGCCATTTTGTATGTAATAAACACTGTATACGTCACTTTACTTGTCAAAACTTGAAAAGAATTAAGCTAGACCCGTCCAGGAGTGTGTTCATATTAAACGTCGGACGTACGTCGGGTGCACACCAGCGCATTTGCCGTGTGCGGCTGGTGTGCACCCGACGTACGTCCGACGTTTAATATGAACACACTCCTGCATCAACGCGACAATAAATATAATTTTTATCTCGACGCGTATCGCCTCGCTTGTCTCGTCGCTTAGTACTGCGTCAACCTCTTTACTATGTTTGGTTTCATTACAATACACGATGAAATAAAAGCCGCGTCGCTTACCTCGTCGCTATGCCTCTAGCCTCGTCGTTCCACTATGTTTGTACCCATAGTAAAGAGGTTGACGCAGTACTAAGCGACGAGACAAGCGAGGCGATACGCGTCGAGATAAAAATGATATTTATTGCCGCGTTGATGCAGGAGTGTGTTCATATTAAACGTCGGACGTACGTCGGGTGCACACCAGCCGCACACGGCAAATGCGCTGGTGTGCACCCGACGTACGTCCGACGTTTAATATGAACACACTCCTGGACGGGTCTAGCTTAATTCTTTTCAAGTTTTGACAAGTAAAGTGACGTATACAGTGTTTATTACATACAAAATGGCAGAGCAAGTCAATGTAATAATCTCCGTGTTCAAGAGGGGTGCATTATGGAATGCTTCTCATCCTGATCATAGAAATCGCTATGTATTAGATGAACTTTGGGCAGAAGTAGCTACAGAATGTGAAATAACAGGCAAGTAAATTTAAGTAACATATATTTTGTACACAGAGTCACTGATATTGCACAGGGAAAGTATTTAGGTAATCTTTAAATGTGTCACGTATAAAAATTGCTTGATTGGGAATTCGACCTCTTGCGTTCCAATTTGGTCTGGCAAAATTGTTGTTTGCAGCACTTTCTGTGATTAATGTCAAATGCCTTTCGAAGCCCTCTTTATCCATGATAACATTATGTAAAATACAAATTGACTTGATTATAATTTCGGCGAGTTGTTCGTCTGTTTCTATGGCTTTGGATAATATTCTCCATTTTGCATGCTTTATACCAAAGGAACATTCAATCGTCTTTCTTGCTCCAGACAATCGCTGGTTAAAGTACAGCCTTTCAGGATTAAGAGTTTATCTACTATATGGTTTAAGCAAGTTTTCTTCTGGTGGATATGCTTCATCGGCAATGAAAACAAATGGCATGCGAATTTGCGTATGTGGTAGACACTGTTCAGTTGGTACATTTAATTGTTTCTTTGAAAGTAGTTCAAACAAAGCAGAACTTTGAAAGGTGCCCCCATCGGATTGTCGTCCATATCCTCCTACCTCTATTACAGTAAATCGATAATTTGCATCGCAGACTGCTTGAAGAACGATCGAAAAGAATTTTTTATAATTAAAAAACATACTTCCTGAATGGCTGGGACATTTGATTTTTACGTGCTTCCCGTCCAAGGCACCTAGACAGTTGGGAAAATTCCAGATGTTCATGTAATCCTCACTAATTTTAATGAAATCATCCTGTGTTGGAACTGGCATGTGTATTGGCTGTAATATATTCCATATAGCGTTAACAACTTCTTTAACGATTGAGCCAACCGTTGTAGCTCCCATGCGAAAAGTGAATGATAAGCTTTTGAAAGATTCTTCTGTAGCTAAATATCTGCAATGGAAACATCAGTTATAGCTCAATAGCTAAATAGCTGTAACAATTTGAAAAATGAGCGAGTATTTACTTTTTTAGCACTAGATATGAAGATTGATAAACGAGAGTATAGGAAGTGGTTCATCACAACATGTGTAAAACACAATGAATATCAGCTATTTTGCATGGTGTTCTATTTTAACACTAGTGTTAAAATATACTACTTTCGACAATAAAAGACAATGTCAAAAAGATTTGTTTCAGTAATTGAAGTACAAAATCGCTATTTGATTATGTAACTATTTGCAAACTAAACTTGTTTTCTGCACTAGACATGTAGATCTTGTGCAAAAAGCAAGCTGCTTTGTATCGTGTTTCATTCAAATTGTTTTCATAATTCAGTACGGAAAAAATAAATTTTAGCTCGTGACATTGATTCGACTGTGTTAAAGAGAAACCTATTTTAATACTAGTTACCTCATTTTAGCACTGATATTCTATTTCAACAATAATGTTGAAATAAACCACTTTTGATAGCGAAAATCAATGTAAAAGTTATTACTTTTCGTAACTGAATTACAATTTATCTTTTCAATGAAGGCGGCTCAAACCAAATGGAAAAATTTAAGGGATTATTTTCGAAGGGAACTGAAAAAAATTCCGATTCCACGGTTAGGAGATCCAGGAGACATTGCAACTAAATCCCACTGGACACATTTTAAAAGTTTGCTATTTTTAAAAGATCAGTTTAAGCCTCGAGTATCAACGGGAAATTTGGTAGATTCTCAGAATGAATTGCTTGATACGGACATGCAATCTGATGTGAATTCTGATGATGATAGAGTAGAGACGGAAACAATAGACGAAATGCAAGACACCCTGAACGTCGAGCCAGCGACACCTACTTCTGTTTCTTCAGAAAATGTTGAGGACTCGTCCACAGGCACGTCAGGTCATTTTGCTGAACCCCGAACAGTTTTGAAAAGCCGACTCCGTAAAAGAAAAAATAATATTGCTGATTTAGTGGCCATCGAAAAACATAAATTGGAATTCATCAGAACAAAGAGAGCCAACATAGAGGAAACCAAAGAGGATGATCATCTGGCATTTTTTAAGAGTTTACTGCCACACGTAAAAAAAATTCCGGACAACAATATTTTGCCGTTTAGAAATAGCGTTCAAGATCTAGTTCAGAGATATGCGTATGGCTATACTATTCAAATGAATCAAGGTTTGCAAACCTTCGATTATCAGATCAATCAGAGCGACATCTCTTACTGAACTTTCGTTTCCTCACAATGTGCTGCATTTTATTACATGCATATTTCTTAGTTTGTGTTGGTTAGAATATATTATTTTTAGTTCATATTTTCCAGTGTTTAAGATTGTTTTGTTAAATGAGTTTGATAATAAATGTTATGTGTTTTTCTACAAGGCTATTATACATTCAACTTACCTTAAAGTAATAACCAATCTCGCTTCCGGTTTAATAGGTTGTTTATTGTAGTTTGTCCAGTTTTTTTGAAGGTATGGAGAAACCTTATCCAAAATGTAGTTGAAAGTGCCAATATTCATTCTCAAATATTCGAAAAATCGGTCTGGGTGCTGCTTGAGCTCAAGAAATAATGTATGGTACTGACCAAACCGTTTGCGCGCCTTATTAATAGGATGTACAGAACAAGTTCTGTCTAAACCGCCCATTGCAATAAGCCCACGAAGCGCGGCATTATCAAATAAAATTTCATCTTCACTGTCGGATAACATTGTTTATACTGATTTAAGTTTGGAACGTCAAAGCTACAAATCGCAAAATCTGTCTCCTTACTATGTACCCTTAGGTGCGCCCATTCCGCTTGTATAGCTGTTCTAAGAGGGTTTTGCCAATGTTCTTACAGTATACAATGCTGTGTAAGGAATACTGTATAATGATTCTTGTAACTCTAATAGGAGTGATAATTGTTAGTTGGGTGGAATCATTGGTCCCAAGTTTTGTCAAGATGAAGATGATGACAGCGTGACGGTAAACGGGGAACGCTATAGAGACACGTTTAGTTTTTTGTGGCCACTATTAGACGAAATGCATTTGCACAATCTCTGGTTCCAGCAGGATGGCGCAACATGCCACGCCAGCCGTGAAACGATCGATCTTTTACACACTAAGTTCGGTCATCGCGTTATCAGCCGTTTTGGAGACGTTCATTGGCCAGCCCGGAGCTGTGACTTGACGCCCATAGATTACTTCCCATGGGGTACTGTTAAGGACCGCCGTTACACTAACGATCCTCAAACAATTGATGTTCTTAAGGAAAATATCCGTCGAGCTATCGATGAAATAGACCCACAAACTATCGAAAATGTGCTTCAAAATTGGGTTAAGAGGATGGACTACTGCCAGGCCAGCCGCGCCAGCCATTTAACTGAAATTGTTTTTCATAAATAATCGGAAGGGGTATCCTTATGAAAAAAAGTATCTAGTGTTACATATTATTGAAGAGTATAGTTTTAATACCAACTTAAAAAAGAAAAAAAAGTATGGCCCACCCTTTATTAATATGAAAGAGAGATAGGCTTGTGTAAAAGAAATATTTTATTATATCGTTTAAAAAAAGACAGCTGACCTCGGAGGACCTAACAGCAGCACTAAGACCTGTGGAGCCGAACCATCTGCCAATATCACAACGGTACCGCCAATAGCGGACAACTTTGTGACGCTCAGTGAAGACAGTGAGTCAGCCACACCTAGAACAGTTGAACAAGCTGGAAAAACTTCTGTAAATCATTGTACTGCTGCTATTCTAATCTGTGTTATAGCCATATTTGTCTTAGGAGACGTTTTAAATAAAAAAAGCTGTCTTCTTGTATGTAGATTTTTAAACTAATGTCAATGCAAAATAAATGATAGGCATTTCCGCCTGACCAAATTAGGGATATACCGCCCATCTCGGTTATCTAGTGATAACATACGTTTAGGCAGACTTTGTATAAATCATAATGTAATTTAAATGTTTGATACATAACATATTTCAAAATATTAATCAGATAGATTAACGTTTTCCTTCTATACCCCATAGAGAACAAACGTTTCCACCGCAAAAGCCAAAAAAAATCGTCAACACTTTTGCCTCTCTGACTTTTAGCGTCCTCTCGTCGTCTTATAAAGGGTGTTCCATCTATTGCTTCTTTTTTCAACTACTATTTTTTGACATGTTAAGGGCCGATTTCACCATCATTAATATTATGGACCAATAGGAAAATACCTTATCGAAATGCAATTTGACGGAAGCTGTCACAGGTCTCAGAATATCATTGATTTCTATTAAAATGTTGAATAAAATCGTGAAAATTCGACTGTATTATAAACAAGACCACTTTTTGATTCCAACATGATGCTTTTGTACAGAGAAAACAGGACAAGTTTCATATATTTTGATTTATGTTATAGGTGTACATTTGACCATCCGTTATCCCCTCAGCGAATGGGAGAAATAATAGGTCGATTTTCTAGCTGTTAAATTTGGCTTCAGGTTTGATAGTTTGTTAATTCATGGCAATCTCGAAATTTGTTAAGTTCAATATACTGTGTGTATATCGTCCCCCAAAACACGAAGTGTCGTATCTGACATTTTTTGAAAATTTGAGTTACGCCAGGTATAAGCCATATAAAGCTGTCACTTCCTACTCACAAAGTGTCGTATCCGAATTCTCAACCATCGACGAGTAATTTTAATATTTAGTTTCAACGTATCTGCCTTAGCGCATTCAAAGAAAGTCACAAACTGTCGTATCTAAGTTTATTTGCAGATACGGCAGTTCGTGATATTCTGGTCTCCTAATCCTTCTACAGCGATGCTGTCGTATCTTCGGGGAATCACGTGGCGGACGCGAATATAACCTCAAAAACGAATCAAAAGTTGTGTGCATCGATTCTTATCAGCATAACTACTTAGTAAATCAAATCAAACCTAATCTTCTGTTGGCGACACCATTGAAAATAAAGGTAGGAAATAAAAAGTATCCACTAATATAATATTTAAATAGTGAAATAGCTAATATAGCTTTATAAGTATGATTTAGAGAATTATTGGATTTAAAAAATTAACAGTTTGTTAGTCACTACAGAAATATACTATATAGTATCATCCCGTCATAAAAAATTAGCTATATTGTAAGCAACGAGAATGTTCGAGAGCCGCTGCCGGTCACGGGGAGTACTGCTGCGTTATCTGCTGTTATTACTTCGACCAGCCGTCGACAGGCAGTCTGAGCAGAAACGTTGGGCGGTGCGCGTCGTGCCCGGATTCCCTGCCGCTCAGTTATATCGATAAACAATATTTGTTCGTAATAAAGGTGTATTTAACCTAAACTAGTGTTTTTCCCCATTGTTTCTAACATCAGAAGTGGAATTCGCCCGCGACAACCACAGTGGATTGTGATTTGTTCGTAAACATTGGCGTTTTTGTTGTTGTTGTTTTGCGAGAACAAAGGAAATCGGGCCAGCGTTGGGACTACTTCGCAATAGTTTGAAAGTTGAGCCGTGGTGCGTGTCTGGATCACGTATTGGAGGTGCTAGTAAGGAAACAACAATGGCTTCAACGGACGAAGACCCCGCCCAGTCGCTGGTAACAGAATTGGTGAAGGCCCTGCAGTCCCAAAGGTCGGCAGAACAGGTAGACTTGCCCTATTTTAGACCCGAAATAAATGAATCCAGTAAATGGGTAAGTCAAATTGAAACTATTAAGCAGGAAGTTGGATGGTCTGACGTTCAAACTCTGGCAAGGATTGGTCGATTTTTGCTAAGCGGTGCCAAAAGATGGTTTGAACGTTGGAACCCAGATAACTGGGATTGGGTCACCTTTCGAAATGATTTCATTGAGGCATTTCCTCCAAAAAGAAACTTGGGGCGTTTGTTGGAGGAGGCAACAAAATTCAATAGTTCTTATGTTAACACTTATGAAAGTTATGTGCATGAAAAATCAGCCATGCTCAAGAACTTACGTGCAAATTGGTGTGAAAGCGATCTGGTTGAACTCATAGTTTACGGAATTTCTGAACTAGAAGTGCGCAATGCCGCGATGAATGCTAACTGCAGAAATATTTCTCAATTATTGGTTTTCTTGTCACCTTTCGTTAAGCATCCATGTAATGACAAGCAAAACAGTGCCGAAACAGACTCTTCTTCATTCAAAAGGAAATATTCTTGTGTTGATAAGCAAAAAAATGTCTTTTCTAAGAATTCTAAGAAGTGTTTTCAGTGTGGGAAATTGGGACACGTTAAAGCAAATTGCGTCAAGAAAACCAAGTTAGTGTCAGACGACAGATACAACGTTGTAAGTCAACGCGACTTACCGAGTACATCACACAGTTCTGAAATTTGCAGTTTTTGTGCTAAGAAAGGTCACAACTCATCAAATTGTTTTACCAAAGCCGCTATTGACAAACGTCGCAACATAAATTGTTGGAAAAAAAGCTGGATCCACCGAAATATTAGTTGATGGTTATAAGTTTTCCTGTTTAGTTGATACTGGCGCTGATTTATCACTTTTATCTGATAAGTACCTCAATTTATTTGAAACTAAGGTTGTTAGCTGTAATGTTATTTTGAAAGGATTAGCTAACGTCACGATTAAAGCCACAAAGAAGTTTACGGGATGTGCGAAAATTTCTGGTGTTGACATTTTGTTGTGTTTTGTTTTTGTTTCTGATGGATGTCTCGATTATGACGTTTTGGTGGGACGTAACATCTTTGAAGATGAAAGTCTCGTCACCATAACAGATCATCAAGGATCGCGCATTGTGCGACGTCAGCTGCCCGGCATAATTCGTGTTTCAGAAGATTTTGGTGCTTTTGTCACAGAAGTAGTGGTACCTGAAGAGGAGCGCGTAGGTCTTGAAGTAATACTGCGAGATTTCAGTGAAATGATTACAACAGGTAATAAAGTTGGTGCAGTGAATAATGTAAGCCTCAAGATTCGTCTTGAAAAGGACATTGTCGTCTATCGTACCCCTTATCGATTAGCTGCCAATGAAAGGGACGCTGTACGTGAAATTGTGAACGATTTGTTGGAAAACAAAATTATACGGCCTAGTGAGTCACCATTCGCAAGTCCCGTACTGCTTGTGAAAAAGAAAGATAATTCGTTCAGAATGTGTGTTGATTATCGCGAGCTAAACCGCGTCACCATTAAGGATAGATTTCCCTTGCCACTGGTTGACGATCAACTTGACAGACTCGGAAAAGGACGATACTTCACGTCTTTGGATATGGCTTCGGGGTTTCATCAAATTCCGATTCACGAGGAATCCATTCACAAGACAGCATTTATAACTCCAGACGGCCATTTCGAATATTTGCGAATGCCATTCGGCCTTGCTAACGCTCCAGCCGTATTTCAGAGAGCCGTGAATCTCGCCCTAGGCAACCTGAAGGACTCAATTGCACTAGTTTACCTAGATGACATTTTGATCCCGAGTAAGACACCAGAAGAGGGCTTTTCTCATCTACGATGTGTTTTGAAGGCACTTAGCGATGCAGGTTTTTCGTTGAACATCAAAAAATGCCGATTTCTCCAATCTACTCTGGAATACCTTGGCAGAGAGGTATCGGGTGATGGTTTAAGACCAGGAAAAGCCAAAACTGAAGCACTCATGAACTCGCCGACGCCAGAAAATGTGAAACAAGTACGCCAGTTCATGGGTCTAGCAGGGTATTTCCGCAAGTTCGTGCCTGAGTTTGCCAGTCGGACAGCATGCATAACTCGACTAACCAAGCAAGGTGTCCCATTCCATTGAAGTCAAGAACAGGAAGATGCGAGGAAGTATGTTATTGACCATCTAACATCAAGACCATTGCTGGCCGTATATGACCCGGAACTTCCGACAGAACTGCATACTGATGCAAGCAGCATCGGATATGGGGCTGTTTTAATTCAAAAACATGGAAACCTGTCCAGGGTAGTTGCTTACTTTAGTAAGCGAACGACCGACTATGAAGCCAAGTACCATTCCTACGAGTTGGAGACTTTAGCGATAGTTCAAGCTTTGAAACACTTCCGAACTTATTTGCTTCCGATTAAATTTGTCATCGTCACCGATTGCAATTCCATCAAGGCAACCTCTACTAAGAAAGACTTGGTACCCCGAATAGCTCGCTGGTGGGTGTACCTCCAAGACTTCAATTTTGAAATAATTTACCGAAAAGGAAGTAGTCTCCCGCATGTTGATTATTTGAGCAGAAATCCTGCAAAAATTTGCCGAGTGACGCATAAGAGTTGGGCATACATCGAGCAAAAAGGGAACGAAGAAGTCCAGAATATGCTGCAACAACTCAGAGAAGGCAACCTTGATGCAAACCAGTATACTGAAAACGATGGAATGCTGTATCATAAGCAAGTGAATGCTGACGGTACGACGAATTTGCAATGGTTTGTTCCTAAGCAAAGTCGCTTGGGCCTATTGCGCATTTTCCATGATGAGCAGTGTCACGTTGGACCTGAAAAGACATATGAGTCTATTGCTCAACATTTTTGGTTTCCGAGGATGAGAAATTTTGTCAAGTGTTATGTCAAGCATTGTGTAATTTGTGCAGTAAAGAAAACGAGAACAGGGCCTCTACAGGGGTTCATACACCCAGTGGACTTACCGAAAGAGCCATTTCATACGCTGCACATGGATTGTTTGGGTCCTCTACCAGCCTCTACTGATGGCTTCAAACACGTTTTGGTAATAGTGGATTCTTTTACCAAGTACTGCATTTTAACACCCATGAAGTCTGTGACTACTGCAGAGGCGCGTGAAAAGCTGCAGAATGTTCTAGCGTTGTTTGGAACTCCTAGACGAATAATAATGGACGCTGCCACGTCATTTAACACATTGACTGCGAACTGGGATGAGGATACCCACCTCAGAAACTGAAATACTTTTTTCCTTTTTTTGGAAGCCGGCAGAGAGCGTCGAAAGACGCCGTTCGCCTCCCACCACAGGAGCGGAGGGCGTCTTTTGACGCTGTTCGCACTGAACGTGTTAAGAACACCACGTTTCCGAAATACCTGGATCGATGGGGCATCGAATACCATTTTGTAACTCCAGATGTTCATAGGGGAAATGGACAGGTGGAGCGCTACATGCGAACCATTAGAAACCTGATGAGAATTGAGACTCAAATAAAGGCAGAATGGCCGAACGGGCTATGGAAGATTCAACTTGTTCTCAATTCAACTTTACAGAAAACCATTAACGCGACTCCTTTACAGCTGCTTTTGGGCATCCGAAGCTCAACTCCGATGATACAAGCCGTGCTGAAGAATGTTTCTAGGGATCTGACTCCCTTGCGCAACCGAGAATTGGATCGTCAACGATTAGCAGAAAGGCTGTCCGTTGTGCAAAACTGCGATAATGCGAACAAAAGGAGAAGAGACAATGTGCAATTTTCAGTCGGTGATTTTGTACTGATGCACCGAGACTCTCAGATGCACATCAGCAAAAGCGACTATGAGTTCCTTGGTCCTTATGAGGTGGTTAAGTGCTTAGAAAATGGACGTTATGAGATTAAGAAGGTTGGGACGAGTATCATAACGAAAGCGGCTAAGGAGCAGCTGAGATCATGGCCTGTTCAGTGGTCCTCTAATATGGATATGAGAGAAATACTAGAGTTTTTGGAGGGTGACAAGGAGTTTGTGGAAGAACCAGGTCAGTAAAGTTCTGTGTAACGTTCAGTTGCCATTGTGTTGTGCTGCTTTATGTTGGTCTCTATCTCGTCAGTAGTAGAGCCAAATGGAGGCCGAGGTCTCCATGGAAACTGCAAACTGGTCTCTGTCTCGTCAGTAGCAGAGCCAGCTGAAGGCTGAGGTCTTCAGGATACTGTGAAAATGGTCTCTGTCTCGTCAGTAGCAGAGCCAGCTGAAGGCTGAGGTCTTCAGGATACTGTGAAAATGGTCTCTGTCTCGTCAGTAGCAGAGCCAGCTGAAGGCTGAGGTCTTCAGGATACTGTGAAAATGGTCTCTGTCTCGTCAGTAGCAGAGCCAGCTGAAGGCTGAGGTCTTCAGGATACTGTGAAAATGGTCTCTGTCTCGTCAGTAGCAGAGCCAGCTGAAGGCTGAGGTCTTCAGGATACTGTGAAAATGGTCTCTGTCTCGTCAGTAGCAGAGCCAGCTGAAGGCTGAGGTCTTCAGGATACTGTGAAAATGGTCTCTGTCTCGTCAGTAGCAGAGCCAGCTGAAGGCTGAGGTCTTCAGGATACTGTGAAAATGGTCTCTGTCTCGTCAGTAGCAGAGCCAGCTGAAGGCTGAGGTCTTCCGGATACTGTGAAAATGGTCTCTGTCTCGTCAGTAGCAAAGCCAGCTGAAGGCTGAGGTCTTCAGGGATACTGTTGATGAGACGATTGCCGTCGTCACAGATGATGTTTTCTTTATTCAATTCCGAGTGTAATTCTGTTATCGAATTGTGGTATTGAATCTCAGTATCGATAGTGCTCGATTCGGATTTGAATCACATTTTTGTGAGATCATAGTTGTGGCAAGTACTCAAATTGCTTGTATTTGATTTGATTCACAGATTCGGCTAGTGGTGCAGAGGGCGTCGAGAACGCCGCGGCCATCAGGAAGGCCGTGTAAGCAACGAGAATTTTCGGGAGCCGCTGCCGGTCACGGGGAGTACTGCTGCGTTATCTGCTGTTATCACTTCGACCAGCCGTCGACAGGCAGTCTGAGCAGAAACGTTGGGCGGTGCGCGTCGTGCCCGGATTCCCTGCCGCTCAGTTATATCGATAAACAATATTTGTTCGTAATAAAGGTGTATTTAACCAAAACTAGTGTTTTTCCCCATTGTTTCTAACAATATATACCTACTCATAAAGCTTATCTTTCATTTCTTAATAATCATCTGAATTTATTTGTTCCACTGCTAGTTTTTCTACAAGTGAAATAAGGTTTTCGGTTTCAGAGTAATGGATGTACTGGTGAAGTGGAAGGATGGATCACTAAATGTGGTTTACTCCAATGACCTAAAAGTAGAAGGGCCTATAGCTATTGGCAGTTCCGTGAGAATGTTGTACTGCGGGAAATGGTATTCTGGTACTATAATGGAAGTGCAAGAAGACGATATTAGTTCTGATGACTCTGACAACATCCCTCTTAGTGAAATTGCTAAACTTAAATCGGATGATCTATATTCCGCTAAAGGGAAAGTGAAAGAATCCAAAAATGACAACATTCCGCCAAGCATCCTAGCTCCATCACTGAAAACAAATCTTCCGGACGACAATAATAATGCTCAATATGCTGATGATTCACCTATATCATCGCCTGAATGTTATGACTCAGATAAGGATCCACCATTTGGAATTTGTGAAGCTAGGGGATGTAAAGCAGAGGTATTCAGTTCATGTAATGTTTGCAGTATTCTTTTGTGTTGGGAGCATTTCATGGCAGACGCTGACGGGTGCTTACGTTTAGGTCATGGCACGAAATCTGATCATGTAACAGCTGAAGAAAGCAGTCGCGATCAAGACAATATTAGTTTAATAAAAGCAGCTTGTCCTGAAGACTTTTGGGTCGAAGGAAATGAAAAAGAAAATCATGAAAGGAAAGCTAAAAAAACTAACAAACAAAAAGACGCAAAAAAGTGTAGAGATAGTGGGCAGACGTACTTTAGTCTGTTCAAAAAAAAGTATGTTCCTGCTAGGACTATGAAGCAGCGATGTATGTCAAAACGATGTTCAAAGGTTGGAAGAAAATGTCCAGAAATAGACGATCAACAAAGAAAACAACTATTTAGTGAGTATTACAATTTGGCTGATCTTACCAGGCACGAAACTTTTTACTTCATCACGTAACTAAGGAGAAAGTCAATCGAAAAACAGTCACGACAAAATCACGGAGAACCTGTACTTTAAGGTATTTTTCCACAGTTGGAAATGATCGTCTACCTGTCTGTAAAACCTTTTTTTTAAACACTTTGGGAATTTCTGAAAGACTAGTTCAAACAGTGCATAATAGAATATCTGAGATGGGTATATTAGAGAAAGAAAACCGAGGCGGTCGTCAGAGATGCCAGGAGATTTTAGAAAAAGAACAAGAAATGCGAAACAAGATAAGTGACCACATTGATAGATATCCAAAAATGGAATCGCATTATTGCAGAAGCAAGACTTCGCGTGAGTATCTACATCCAGATTTGACATTGCAAAGGATGTATGATATGTTCATTGAAGAGCTGAGCCAGCAGAGTATCGAAAGAAAGCCTTGTATCACGATGTATAGGAAAATTTTCAAATCCAAAAATTTGTCTTTCTATCATCCAAAGAAAGACCAGTGTTCGTTGTGTCTTTCGTTTAGAGAGGGAGATGAAACAGCGAAACAAAAATTGAAAGAGGATTTTGAAAAGCATATTAAAGAGAAAACTAAGGTTAGAGAATTGAAGAGACTGTTTAAAGAAGTAGCGATGGCTGACAATACAGTTATGTGGTGTGTTTGATCTTCAACAGGTCATTTACCTACCAATCAGTAATGAAAATGCAATTTTTTATAAAAGTAGATTATCGAACTTCAACTTCACTTTTTATGATTTAGCTAGTAAAGATTGTTATTGCTTTGTGTGGCATGAAGCAGCTGGTAAGAGAGGATCCTCAGAGATAGCGACCTGCCTTTTTAAAATTTTAGAGGAATATTCTAGGCAGGATAAGACAAAAGTTGTTTTATTTTCTGATGGGTGCTATAGTCAAAATAAGAACACTATAGTTGTCGCTATGCTCCTGTATTCCTTGAGTACCCTTCCATCGTTGATGGAAATAACTTTAAGATTCTTTGTTACAAATCATGGACAAAATGAAGGGGATTCTGCCCATAGCAGTATTTCTCATGCAATTTTAAAAGCAGGGGATATCTTTGAACCGACTCAGCTACTACCGATTATCAATTTGGCAAGACGGAAACATCCATATAAAGTATATCCCCTAACTTTTAGAGACTTCATGGATTTCAAAACTTTATCAAAGAATTTGAGGATTTTATCCCTACGTACTACAGCTTCAGGAAGAACAATTAACTGGACAGACATCATGGAAGTTAAAGTTGATAAGCTACACCAAGATAAAATATTTTTCAAGACGAGCCATTTAACAGAAGATTATGATTTCATTCAATTAAAAAGAGGCGCAGCAAATACTGAAATGTCAGTTAGACCACTATATGCCTCATCAATAAATATTTCTAATAAGAAATATAATGACCTCCTTGCGTTATGTAATGGAAAAAATCCAGTGATAAGACTACCGGAGATAAAGAAATTTTATGAAGACTTACCTCACGATAAGGCTTGGGTTTAGTTTTTTTAAATAGATTTTGAGAATTTTTGTAGAGGAGAGGGTATAAATATGGGCTAGGCGGGGAATATGGGCTACGTTGATATTTCTGATGCACCTAGAGTCATCTATCGAGTAATGTATCAATTAGATGCTCTTTAGAGCACCTAACCGCCTGCTGATCACAGAATTCTTCTTTTCACATATGCAATTCAGTTTCGTGTGATTTGGTCTTTATCAGTGTTTATAAGTTTTGCAGTGGTGGTTATTTGTCGCTGTAACCAAGTAGGCTTTAGAATTTAACTGGATTTTTATAGCTTACAATTGAAAATAAGGTTCGTATTTTTAGATTTTGTTTTTAATTTTACCCAGATATAAGATATAAAATATTTGTGGAGTTTCAAACTTTTTGAAGGTTATGTGCAATATGGGCTGGTATTACGTTTGTAATATGGGCTAGCCCATATTTGTAACAGTAGTAGAAATCATGAACCTTGTTTTAGAATGCCACGCAGAAAAGCTATTGTTAGTCTCAAGTTGAGCGCCAAGAAACGGAAGACATGGGATGTAGACCATATGAAAAGGGCTGTTCAAGCGGTAAGAGAAAAAACTATGGGTACTATAAAGGCAGCTAAAACTTATGGCGTTCCAAGAACTACAGTACAGCGATTGGCCAAAATGGACCATCTTAGCGTGGAGGAGGCTGTTCAGATCAAATTAGGGCGAGGTACAGTTTTGACTCCAGAATTGTAAGAATCATTAGTTCGCTATATTCTTGAAATGGAAGCCAAGTTCTATGGTTTAACCCGCAAAGACGTTAAACGTATGGCATTTTACTTAGCAGAAGAAAACGGCATAAGGCATCCTTTTGGGAATACACAAACAGCAGGAAGGGGCTGGTTAGATCTATTTTTGCAAAGACACAACATTTTGTCGGTTAGAAAACCTACTGGGACATCATTTGCACGTGCCAAAGGGTTCAACAAAGAGAGTGTGGACAACTTCTTTACACTTTTGGAGAAAGCATATGAAGACCACAATTTCCCAGCTAATCGCGTCTTTAATGTAGATGAGACTGGTCTAACTGTTATGCAAAATAAAGTGGCTGAAGTGGTTGGTCATAAGGGCAAAAAACAAATTGCATCTTTAACATCATTAGAAAGGGGGTCTTTAATCACTTTGATTACCTGCATGAATGCAGGGGGAGACTTCGTTCCACCGATGCTCATATTTCCTAGAAAAAATATGAATGTGCAATTAATGAAAGGCACTCCTCCAGGATCAATATCAGCAGTTCACCCAAGTGGATGGGTTCAGGCCTCATTATTCGCCCAGTGGTTCGAACATTTCATCAACACGGTAAAACCAACTGCATCTTCACCTGTTCTTCTAATTTTAGATGGACATTATAGTCATACCCGTAATTTAGAGGTTGTTATTATGGCGAGAGAAAATCATGTTTGCATAATCTCATTACCCCCTCATTCAACACATAAATTGCAACCTCTTGACAAAACTTTCATGGGTACATTAAAATCTTACTACAGCGAAGAGATTAGACAATGGATTCGTCATAATCATCGTCCCTTAACCCAATATGATATGGGCGAACTTTTGGGAAGGGCTTATCTCAAAAGTCAGACTGGAGAAATCGCCGTAAAAGGATTCCGCGTTACTGGAATTTTTCCGATTAACAGGAATATTTTTTCCGAAGTGGACTTTCTTGCAGCCGAAATAGAAAAAGCAACAGAACACTGTACCGCTGAAAATGACTTCGATCAGAGCACACTGGGCACATCTCAATCAGATCTAGAGCCTCCTAGTCTAGACAACGTTCAACCCGGGCCAAGTGGTAAATTTTAATCTGATGTAGAGCTACTCAATCACGACAGCGTTCAGCCTGGACCATCTGGAATCAAAAAAAAAAATGGTGACTCCCTTCGATATTTCACCAGTTCCGATCTTAAAAAAAAACAAGTAATAGGGGTAGGAAAGCATCACAAGCAGCAGTAATTACTTCGTCCCCTTACAAAAATGAATTATTGTTGAGCACTGCCAATAAAAACAAACAAAAGATTAAATCTATTAAAAAAAAGGTGTTTTCTCAATCAACCAAAAAGAGATCGTCCATATCTTCGAAGGAGAATAAAAAGCAGCAATCTTTAGGAGAATCTGAAAGTGATGACGATGAAACAGAGCTGATGTTAGCAGATGATGACTTAGATTTGGATGATCTGCCTGGATTTGTGAAAGTAAATTTTCCGAAGACCGCAAAGGAGAACTATGGGTTCAACGTTTAATGTGCAATATGTGGTGTCATGTCGATTGTGCAGGTGCTGATAAAGACGATTATGTTTGTGACTTTTGTCGCACTGGATAATATCTAATGTGTTCTTGCCAACTGCTTCTGTTTTTTCAAAATTTTGCTCTTGAATAAAGCTCTTAGTTACCATGTGTAGGTATTTTTTCTGGTAGCCCATATTTGTATCACTATCTCAATATCTTTTATGATGCCAATTTTATTTAAACATATAAAAAATCGAATAAGGTTTATGTAAAAAAAATAAAAACTGACAGCATCATGTTAGATTAGGTTCAGCTTATCCGAGAAAAAAAAAGTTGAGCCATATAGACCAAATATGTGTCAAATATGCCAATTAAATAAAATGGTAGCCCATATTTATACCCTCTCCTATATATTTTTTGCTTATTAGTGTCTTACCTTTGTCAATAAAAATTATTAACAAGAACTTTTCTCTCTTCCTTCCTCTGATTATAAACCATCATGTATGCATCTTGTTCGTCGTATCTTCCGTTACATAATTAAAGAATTATTTTTGGCAACACGAAATGACGTATCTGACTTATCAATTTTTTTTCTCAAAACTTATTCAGCATACAACCATTTTGCTAGCTGCAGTTGAAAACTAGTGGATTTGAGTATGATAGGCTCAAAAAGTTTTGTGAAACACTTTTTATTGTATGACATACAGCTTCTAAAAGAGACCCCTTTTTCTTGTTTTCTCTCTCCTGTAAAATTATGGAAATGTCAGTTACGACACTTCGTGTTTTGGGGGACGATATGTGATCATTATAGCTACACATACCTGTTGAATTCTGCGGATTTGCAAGAAAATAGAATATAAAATGTATTCCAACCAATTCCTCATCTCTCTTTACATCATGGTAGTAATCATTTGTTATAAATTCATGGGTTAAAGAATTTCTTCAAAGCAATCAAAACAGTATGGTCGTCCCCATTCTAAAACACCGTTATGTGTAAAACATGTTAATCCCTACATCTCCGAGGTGCATGATGCAATTACTGTAGACATAGACCTAAAATTATTAGTAATTACTGAAAAATAAGAGCTAAAAAGAATTATAAATAGTGATAAAATATTGGTGGTTAAGGTTTTTGACTGGTGACTGGTGGGGATACAATATAGGGATGGCGACGATAGGCGATACATTAATGTATGGAAAACATCGATACATCGGACGTAGAACATCGATCTTTACAGATCGATGGTTTCATGACGATATATCGATATCGAGAGGAATCATAAACATCCGTAACCGTATACCCCGAGTCTGTCCTTAACTGTGCTACCATCTCTAAGCGAGGGCTGTTAGCTTCGAAACTGAAAGGCCAGAAAGCTATTTAGGTGTTTAGTAGTATTTGAATATTATCATTACAGACGAGCACACTGAGCCACTGAGTGGCCACTGAGCACTGTAGTCTTTTCTTCATTCTGTACTTCCCCAAGGGATAGAATAAAATAGACTGAAAACAGGGCGTTTAATGATTTTCAATTCTCATAGAAAGATTTTCCCCTGCCGGCCCTTGACATCGTTTCGAAATATGAAACTCTGGAAACCTATAAAAATAAAAATGAATACACAAAGCCTACTTACCTATTTCAGACAAAAACAAAAACAACTGCCACATAACGATTGTCACCTTGCCAAAGTAGTGATGGGCGTGCCTGCTGCACGGTATACGGTATCGATATTCGATAAAATATTTTTCTTTCTACCATTAATGCGTGGAAAAAACAAAATAAGGAGAGATCTAAAATAAGGAATTATTGAGGGCCTAAAATAGCCAGGCGCTAATAATTCCTGGCCGTATTTGAATATCTAAGCAGGCACAGTAGAACAAAAATAAGACTTGGAATTAATAAAGTTTATTTCGACAGTTGGCATTGTTTGCTCCACTGGGACAAAGTGTTGACGGATCCCACAGAATTATGTGTCACTTGTCGATATGGTTAGTTTTCAAATATCAGTAGATAATCAGCTGTTATTCAAATCAGTGTATATGTTTTGTGATTCAAATAACGTCTAATATAAATATAACCCAGAATATGTACTCAGTGAAAAAAGAAAAATATTGCAAATTTCTAATTTTTCTGCAGGTTTCAGGTTTGCTGGTAGCTCTACGACATATATTTGGGTATTTCTTAATCGCTGTGAATATAGTGTATATGTTTGTTAAGTTACTGAACAACGAAAAATATTCAACTTTATGGATGTATGGATATTAAAAAACCAGAATGATTTTGTGGGAATCTCAAGCTAAGGTGCCATAATGGTTCTGATGAACGGCAAGTAAATGAATGAATGTTTGGAAACGAGCAATATCTGTGAACTTTTTGGTAGAGCCAGTAATCATGTAGGTGCTTAATGGCTATCTGCAAGATGTTTATAGGAAAAAACACCCAGTAGATGATCTTGAATCAGTAAAATCGCATATCAATTGAAGAAAATAATATAAACATGAATAAAAAATCAACAATAGTAATTAAATCATGAATTTTATTCAAAAATCAAACATTTGTTTAAATTTTGACTGAATTATATGTAATTTCTTAATATTCAATAAGCTGATAATGTTTCAATGACAAGATGTCATGTCATACTTTGACAGTATTTTGTTTTCAACATTTTATAGCTATTGGTTGCTAAAATTTGTTGATTGGAACTTGAAGCTCATTCGCTGTATTTGACGGGCTGTTACCCTACAGGTGGAGAATAACGGACTGTTGTTGGTGAAATTGGCCCATTTGTTATTATTATGGATTCTTCAACAACGCAAGAACGCATTTTGGTCGTACAAAAGTATCACGAAAACGGACGATCTTTAGCCCTCCATCAGTCCCGGTGTTAGAAAAAATCTAACAAAATATAATTCACTACAAACATTTTATTAAAAATTCGATGTATAGCATTGAGACTAATGGAGTTCCTCATAGATGTCGCTAGTGTTACGGGTTTAATTTTTTCTCTGGGAGAGGGGTGCTACCTATAGTATCTTTGTAACTAAGTTATAGAGCTCGGCTCTGTGTTTTTAAACAGATTTGCTTCCTTTGTCACAAACGTATCATGGCTGTGATGTCTCCTATGAAATGGTAGATATCTATTAAGTCGCGTACACATCTGGCGAACGCATGTGGCCGAAGCCTTTCGACCGAACGCCGTCGGTAAATGTGTACGACCTATCAAACGCATGTGTTTGCCTTCGCGAGAGTTCGGTCACTGGGCGGTACATCAAAAGAAAATTGAAGAATGAATTCGATTGGCTGTGTTTAGCGATAATGGAGTGGACTAATTCCTCTTGTTTAACACTTATTGGTTTATATCGAGAACGGGAAGTTTTATGGAATCCAGTGCATAAAGATTACAAAAATAAAATAAAGAAAATGGATGCCTGGAACGACATCAGCAAAATTATGAAAGGCGATACAGGGGAGGTCAAAAAGAAAATGGAATCTTTATTAACATCATTCCGACGTGAGAGTCAAAAACAAGATAGCTCGTTTAAAACTGGCTCAGGAACCGACACAATGTTTAAATCTAGCTGGTTCGCTTTCAAAGAAATGCTTTTCTTGATGGACAAGTTTATACCAAAAGACACTAAAAACACTGAGGTAAGTCAAAATATTTATTTTTTTATCAAATAAAATAAAATAGGGAGATTTGTACGACCTCAGTGTATAGGCAGTAATAAGACAGAAGATTATAATTAGCCGACTAATTTCTACGCATGTGAATGTTGCCAACTCACGCTACCTTCGCCCATAAAATATGTAGCAAATTCATTTCTAATTGCTTCACAATTTGCCGAACTTTTTCGACCTATCTTAGGTATTGGAAGAAAGGACTCTGCATTTTTATTTTCGCTTCCCTGTCTCCATTGTCCAGGAATGATTCTTCCTTCTTTCTCATCATCAAATGTTCCTGATGGAGTATAAGTGTTGCGAGAATGTTTACTTTTCCTTAGGAAGTTATGTAAATAGACACATGCTAAAACTACCAAAGTTGCTTTTTCAGGTGATACTAGCATCACTTTTCTCAAAACTCTAAAAACAGTTGACATGATGCCGAAAACATTTTCAACAATACGCCTGGCTCTACAAAGTCTATAGTTAAAGATACGTTTCTTAGAACCTTTTTTTCTGTTCTACTGGATACCCCTTCATTAAATGCTCACTAAGGCTAAATGCATCATCTCCTACAAATACATAAGGAACTTTCACATGTCTATTAGGTAGAATGTCATCAGGTGGTAAATGGAGCTCATTGTTTTGCAGTTTTTTCCAGAATATAGAGTTTTTTAGCACGCCTCCATTTGAAATCCGACCTTGGCAGCCAACATCAGCAAACAAAAAGCAATAATTTGGATCAGCAACTCCCAACAAAGCTAAACTAAAATTTCCTTTATAATTGAAATAGTCGCTGCCACTGTGTATGGGTGCCTGAAGTACGCAGTGTCTGCCATCTATGGCACCAAGGCAGTGAGGAAAATTCCATAGAGCTTCAAACATTTCCACAACATATCGCCATTCGTTTTCAGTTGTAGGCATCTAAAAAACAAAAAAAAAACGTTAGTGTAAAAAAATATGAAACCAAAATTTTTTCAGGAGATGATTCGACCAAGGAATCAATATCAAGAAGAGGAGGAGGAGAAGGAAGAGGAAGAAGACATGGCCAACAATGACATAGCTATTGACGAAATTAATAATGACACGCAAGTAACAGAAGTACCAGAACGAATAACCCTCAAAAGAAAATCAAATTTTATATCTCCCAAGAGGGTCAAACGGGTACCATCTGTGGCTTCTGTGAATCAAGGAGCAACCAGTGCTATCTCTAGAGGGCAAGAAGCATACCAAATATTACAAGAAACACTTGCAAGTAAAAAAACAAGAGACCTTCAGAATCAGATGGTCCACTGAATGAAAATGAGTCTTTTTTGTCGGCGACCCCATCAAACCTGACGTTACAGGAAACTGATAATCCGAAGACACCCATTATACGTTTTATAAATGCATTTACAGATAGTCTTTAAGGCATTTTTTTTTATATAAACCCTAGACTTTTTAATAAATACCTAAAGCATATTGTACATAACTATTGAACTCACCTTAACGTATTCTTGAAGCGTCTCAATTATAGCAGAGCAAACTTCTGGTATTATCCTTGACATGAGTTGTTTTGAAATTTTAAAAGTATACATTAAACTTGTATATGAGTCACCAGTAGCTAAATATCGTAGGGTTAACATTAACCTTTCTGTTGACGGTATTGCTTCTCTAAACTTTGTATCTTGTTTCGCGATTTTTGGACCGATTTCATTTAATAACCATTCAAAATCAGTAGACTTCATTCTACAAAAATTTACAAAAAGTCCGTATTCCATTTCAGCTTTTAGATCACTAATTAAGTCTATCCCTCTATACCGACTTCTGCTTTTGAACAATGATGTTGTCCACCAGCGCCGTTTTCGTCGTTTCTTGGGGGGCTCTTTCAATGCTTCGGTCTCCGCCTCACTAATAATAATATACAACGCACTTGCAATAATTATATTCTCATCATCGGACGCCATTTTTTACCATTTACAAAAATACCCGCGAACCTCGACGAATGACTGCAAACGAATTCGTTCACCGTAATGTGGACGGCAGAGCAAATTTTCCATCGAACGTCGAAATCATCGAATGAACTCGATCGAAGAGCTTCAGCCACATGCGTTCGCCAGATGTGTACGCGCCTTAAAGGCGCGTACAGACCTACAAACGCATGCGGATAGCAGCCACGAATACACATACGTGTGCAAATGTGGATGGCGCTTTCGTAGCCTCTCGCCGCATGCGTTGCTTCTTGCGAATGACTTAAGCACACATGCCGCGAGCCAGAGTGGTGTCGGTTTTTACGCACACATCAAAAGAAACATACGTATGCGTTCGCGCTCAGTTTAGACGGATAACGTGGAGATTTGCTGCATTTGCGAGACAAGTTAGGATTTATTGAGTTTTATTCATTTTAGTGATTTATGTGTAAAATGGAGTGGTCAAATGAACAATGTTTGCAATTAATAGATTTGTATGAAGAAAACCCTATATTATGGGATCCAAAAAATAAGTTTTATTATTCAAAAACAAAAAAAAAAGATGCATGGGAGTCGATTTCAACAAATCTTAATATGGATTTAGCAGTCGTGAAGAAGAAAATGAGCAGCTTACTTGGTTTTTTTAGGGCTCAAAGGAGCAAATGCAAGAAGTCCGTGGGTACAGGAAAAGGTATTGTGTTTTTCTTTAAGTAAATTAACAACGGCGGCTGAACTTTTAGGGTTTATTCATATATTAGATAATTTTTAAACAAATATACATAATTTTAAACTTAAAGATATAGCTTAAAAAGTTATAAAAATAAAAGTCCACTTAAGCTTATATGTAATAATGGGTTTATTTATTTTAGGTACAACTGAAATTTTTGTTTCCAAATGGTTTGCTTTTGAACGGATGAAATTTCTGCTCGACAAAGACCAACCAAATTGCACCCTAGATACCGAAACTCGAGAAATGGTAAGTATTTATACATGATACACATTTTTTAACTTAGGCATAATTATCTTGCCACGGTACACTTTTTTTTTTTTTTATACTCCAACTACCACGAAGGCCTAAGGCCTAAGCACCCATTGGGTACCGTGGGGCTATGGGGGATACATGGGAAAGGGGGGGACGCCACACGGACTCTGGCGAGGGAACACGTGTGCATGCAACATGCACACATTCTGGCTCCGCCTACGAGAACCGCCGGGTGGTACCTCCGCGTTCGACAGTCAGAGACCATCTACCACCTACGGACAATCACAACATCCATGGCCAAGAGAAACATTTCTCATGGGACGGGACTCGAACCCGCACAGCGCACGGCGGCTGATCAGGAGACCGAAAAGTCTACTACTGCGGCCACCGCTGCTGCCTAAAACAAACACACAACATCCATGGCGAAGGCGAGATTCGAACTCGCGGCCCGGCCGGCCGGCTGATCAGTAGCACGACACTCTGACCCACGCGGCCAACCGAGGTCCCAATACGTCCATTTGTTATGAAATATTCCGTAAATTCATTTCTAACCATTTTTGCGTTTTCGGAATATTTTGAAGAGGCAACAAACTATTGGCATTGTCTTGAGCAGTTCTCAATTCTCCTGGTATGTTTTTATCTGGTCCATTATCAAAAGTTCCAGGAGGTGTATATATATTTCTAGAAAAGGGAGAGTTCCTTAGAACATTGTGAAGATACGCTATAGTCATTACAATGATTTTTACTTTTTCTGGTTCTAGTAAAATTGGCTTCCTTAAAATGCGAAAAACAGCAGATGTAATCCCAAACACGTTTTCAACTATTCTACGGGCCCTACTGAGTCGATAGTTAAAAATCCTCTCAGGTGATCCTTGACGGTGCTGTCCTGAATATGGCTTCATTATATTTTCAGTAAGCGCAAAAGCTTCATCAGCTACAATTATGTAAGGTACAGGTCGATCTCTACCGGGTAGTGCATCGTTTTCAGGAAGGTTTAATTTTCCTTTCTCAATAAGATCATACAATTTCGTATGCTTAAATACTCCACCGTCTGAGATTCTTCGTTGAGATCCGACGTCAACAAATAAAAATGAATAATCTGCATCAACCAATGCCAAAAGAACAATACTAAAAAAAGATTTATAATTGTAGTATTCACTCCCCGTTTTAATAGGATTTTGTATTATAATATGCTTCCCATCCATTGAACCAAAGCAATGTGGAAAATTCCAAATATCTTGAAATCGAATTGATATTGTCTTCCACTCTTGTGGTGTAGTGGGAATCTGAAAAAAACACTGTGTTTAATATAATTAAAAAAATATTAAGAAGGAGATTTAAAATTTCAATGTGGGTACTAAAGGCAATAGAGGGTGTCCCAATATTCCGTGGACATAATGTATAGCAAACGGATCTGTGCCTGTGACGACCCTCTCTTCGTGATATCATTGTTATGGTTAATTAACACGTTGGCTGCTCACCAACAATTATATAGATGTCACTGGTGCGGCATTGTCAAATGCTTTTATTTGTCATTTTTTAAGCATAAATTAGTTGAAACTACAATTAAAAATACTTTTTTCTTTAAATTTACAGAAAAAAAAGACACGACGCACAGGTGGCGGCATGAGCACTGCGCACTATTTATTCTTGCTAGGTGCTCAATGACGCACATGTGTCGTCAATAATAACTATCCTTCAAACATCTTTATTTACTATATATTTTGCACAAAATATAAAAGCAAATAATGAATGACTATAATTAAAAAACAAAATCATACTTCCCTGAACTTAACATTCAAATAATAAAAAATATATTCTTTATATAACATAAATTATAAACAGCAAATTAAAACAAAATAAAACAAACCTATATATCATTTTATTTTAGATTTTCGTGGAATTCCTTGAAACAAGGTTCTAGACATAGTCCTGGTAAATCTGGACACGATTTACAAAAGTACATGGCATCTTTGCGAACACCACGTTTTGAACAGCAGCGACACCTCTTCCGCTGTCTTCTATTATTTTCACTCCTTGCTTCACATTTTGATGGAAGATGTTGAGTTGATGGTTCCTTCCCACTGGTCTGGTTCTGAATTGCGCTATCTGGAATATCTGGAAGCAGTGCTTCTATGACTGACTCTCTATAATCTAACAATGACATCTTCTGCCCAGAATATTTGTTGTAAAGCATGTAAGAATTATGGAGCATCATCTCGCAAATATGTAGACCCACTTTTTTGTACCATCTAATTGTCTTTCTATGTGAGGGATAATAAGACTGCATCTGGTCTTGCAGGTCTATGCCAGACATATATTTGTTATATTGCACTACAGGAGTTGGTTTACTTTTTTTATTACCAGATCTAGAAGTCACTTCTTCAAATGTGTTTTCATGTTCTGTTGTGATATATAGCACCTCCCTTTTGTCTTTCCACTTACCCACACACATTTGCCCCATAACGATAGATAGATTCACCTGTTTTCAGTTTTGATGTACTTACTTCCTTGGGGGTATCCTTTCTTCCAGCGCGCAACGTTCCCGTACAAAAGATCTTATTTTCCAGTAACTGACGTGCAAGCGATACAGAGTTATAGAAATTATCCATGTACACACTATATCCATTATTACAGTAATTATCCAACAGATTGAGAACAACATTTGCAGCGTGTCCTTTACCACCTAAATCGTCAAAAACACCACAGTAAATCTGTATTTTTAAAATAGTTCCGTCACATTCGGTAAGTAGGTAAAACTTTATGCCATACTTGTGCTTTTTGTTTTTTATATATTGACGAAACAGAAGCCGCCCGCGCCAAAGAAGCATGGATTCGTCGATAGACAGGTTTTTTCCTGGCGAATAAATTATCGACATTTTCTTGTTGAAGAAATCCAGCAAAGGGCGAACCTTGTATAATCTATCACTTGGAGCTGCTCCCCCAGCTCGAGGGTTCTCGGCAAAATGAAGACATCGCAATATAATTAGATATCTGTCTCTGCTCATGAACTTCCTGATCCTAAAGTTGTATAAACGGTCGGTACGCCAATAGTCCCTAAATCTTGGTAGTTGGAGTATACCCATATAAAATGTCATTCCTAAAAATATTGACATTTCTTCTTTATTGACTGGTTTCCAACGGCTAATCCTGGAATGGGGCCCTTGACATTAATTCAGCAACACAATTTCTGCGTAACTGTTAGTTTCTCGGACCAGTAGTTCAAAAAAATTATCGTCCACGAGGAGGAAAAAAAAATCGATGGGCCTCCTTCTATCAGGTACTGGTACATTCAATCGTTGCTGCCCAGTAAACATATTTTTTTTTTTAATTGCGGAGGGCCCTCTGTCCACATTTCGCTCAATGAAGGGACTTCCGCCTCATCATTTGAATGCCCGGAGTCGCTTTCCAAGGAGTTTACTGCCTCTTCGATTATATCTTCTGCACCACTCCATTCACTTCCGGAGTCTTCAAATGGTTCGTCGTCTAAGGAATCCTCAGAAAGATATGCCAATTGACGTAGTTCTTCGTCGTTTAGATTTCTAGGATCCCTAAACCTTAATCTTTTCGATACTGAAGGTCCCGGAATGGGATTGTCCCCATTGCAAAATTAATGTACTAAATTCCGAACCACGTGTGAATTTTTAAGGTTAGAACACTAAGCAACATGCTCCTACTAAAGTAAAAGGCACACTGAGGCGCGCTTCGCTTATAACTATATTTAACTACAACAGGGACTACGCCGACAAGGTTGCGGCGTGAGCACTCGCATACATATTCTTATGCCGCCACGTTGTCGGCGTGAGCAGCGAACGTGTTAACGGACAACAATAAAAATACATTGTTATATGCAGTAACCTAGGATACCTGCATTCTTTTATGAGGCATAGAAATGTTTGCCAGACTATAGAAGCACCACGTATTTAAAAAAATATATTCACTATTAATCTAAAAAAATCTACAAAAAATCCACACACATGCATACTAAACTCTGTTATTATTTGTAGGACGATGGAGAAGTTACTGACCTAAATGAATCTTTAACCGAAGAAGAAAATGTAACTAAGTCTGATAATAATGTGACACAGCCCAATGACCTGAATGCGGAAGAGACAGTTGACTCACCAAACGGTACTGCTGCAGAAAAACCTGTACATGGAAAAACTTCAAGTCGAATAGCAAAGGAGCCTCAGATTTTTCCAAAAAAACGTAAGGTAAACGAAGATCCCAAAGTAGCAGAAGCTTATAAAATTATGAAGGAGGCACAGGCCCGCAGTTCTAGACGAGAGAAAGCTGAAGATCGGTTTGACATCTATGGGCAACACATCGCGTCAAAATTAAGAACCTATTCTAAAAGAGCAGAAATAATGGTCGAACATGCTATCAACAATATACTTTTTGAAGCAGATCTAGGAAACTATGACGGGCCGTCTTCTGGAAGCTCTTTTCAGCAACATAGCCTAGTTAGTCTTCCTCTTCCCAGCCCTGCCACAAGTCAGTATACCTCTTATTCCGACCCTCTAACAAATACATCAGCAACTGAGAGTAGTCAACCTTCAAATAATATGGATACATCTGGATACAATATACCAACTGCACAGAACTTGTTTGCAACTTTTAACCCTATAACCTATACACTAGAACAGCCAACAAATACTTCTCAATAAGTTTTTCCAGTTTTCATTTATATGTAGAGTAGCGGCGGGTAATATGAAATACACCGGCTAATATGGAATACCATCTAATTGGCTAAACTTATGCTGCCATTTATAAGGCGGTAGCAAAAATATGCTCGTCGTGAGTGCAGATTTATACCCAAATACGCGCATAACTCTGTAATCGGTAATCGTTGCACTGTACTGCACCTAGAAGAATTTATGACTAGAATAGAAAACAGTATTCCATATTACCCGCCGCTACTCTACATATTATTATGTATTATTAGGTATTATTATGTAATTAGCATTTAATTTTGTAAATTACTATTCAATAAGAATAAATATTTGGTTTCGTCTCAATACTTTACCTTTATGCACTCCCGCAAGTTTTCAATTAGGGCTAAACATACTTCGGGTACTATTTGTGAAATAGAGTGTTTGGAAACTTTGAAAAGATACTGGAGACTTGTGTAAGAATCCCCTGTTGCCAGAAATCGTAATGTTATCAGTAAACGTTCTTTAACTGGTATGGCCTTTCTTAAGACTGTATCTTTTTTCTGTATTACGGGGTCTATATGATTTAAAAGGCGTTCAAAGTCTTCTACTGACATACGAGTAAAATTTTGAAATTGTCCAGTATTGGGTTCTAACGCCAAATCTACTAGTAAATCGGACTTCATTTGTAAGGTTCTTCTTTTAAATAACTGCGTCGTCCACCATCGCCTATTTTTCCTTTGTTTTTTCTTTTTTAATGAACTAATAACCACAAACGCGGCACTAACCATAAGCAGCTCCTCAGACATTTTTTCACGATTGGATGGAGCGCCTTGAGCACGCATGCATATGCGGTGATTTTTAATTTCAACGAATGCTCTGAGCGCGAATGGTTTGAGTACGCACGCATATGCGTGGCTTCTCGCCGCATGCGTGTGCTAGTCTGTACGCGCCTTAAGGTGATGATATTGTGCCAGGCGAACCAAATTACTGAGGTTGTCAGGATTTGAACGAGGTATTTATATATACGAGTAACTGGGTTTATACGTAATTGTAACTATTTGATACCTTTAGCGTATTTTCTTGGGTACGTTTTTTTTTAAAAAAGAACTTTGGGTTTCTTTTTCTTTGTTGGTAAGGGGGGGAGATGTGTCTGGTTGATACATTCTTTTTTTCCTCCTATCCAGTATAGAAGATTAATGATAGTTTAACGTATGTACATTTTTTTATGTATTGTATAAATGTATAAATATGGGTAAATTTACTGGGACTAATATTTTCTAAAGTTTTTCCTTTGTGAAAGTTTTCCCTTCAGGAAAAACTTTCTCCAGGAAAGAGGGGTGTGTTACGGGTTTAATTTGAAAACCTTGTAGGAACTGCCGTGACCCTGCAATAATCGTAAACACTAAACAAGGGTAGACATATTTCTAGTTTAACTACCTGAAGATTTTCTCTATGGTTTATACGTAACTCTCCACCTATTATCTCATTTTGTAGTTGAGGCCCTTTCATCTGAGAATTGTTTACGTCTTCGTTTCTTTCCTAACCTCAATGTTACATTTCGACAAGTGTTCGGTCCTTTCAGTCCGGGAACAGTCGGCTGTTGTTCCATTGCTCCATTGCTCCTCTAGGACTTTGTGTTCCGTGTCCAAGTTGAAGAGACTTCACTTTTTGGTCGTAGCTCTGTTGAGAAGCACGCATTTTGCGGATCTTTACGCCAAATGAAGTCTAAGCGTTCTTCATTTTTATGTCTCATATAATCCTACGCTTTTTACGGCGTTGTAGCCGGCACTTTTAGGCCACACTCCAAGAGAGGTAAGCAATTCGGCTTGCGTTAAAATGGAACCCGGCGCCATATTGGATTTTTGTTTCAGGCCTTTTTCACCTTCTTCCAACTTTTCGTCTTCTTCACCTTACGTTTTCGCCACTAAACTACTGCTGATACCTTCAGATGAAGCCCTGACGACTTTTCCACGCGCTGTCCTGTAATGAGAGTTCCAAGCAGCCCCTGAGGAAGGGAGCTGATTCAGCTGTTGCCAATGTCCACATACGCCATGTGCTGAAACCCCGTCGAACTGCATCTACATACTTAAGCAGCTAATTTCACTTAATATGAATTATTTATCCTAACTTCACAGCTGGTGTGATCCTGAGGTATGCATACCCCCGGAAACTTGGTAAGTCACTAATGTTCGTTTTCATTTGTTGTTAGGTGATCGATTAACCATTGCAAAGTGAAATTTTGAGCTTACTGTGATCATTTTGATTACTTGAAAATCCTGTCATAGCACCCTTCAGGTAGTGTGTTGCAAACCTTGTCATAGCACCCTTCAGGTAGTTTGTTGCAAACTTTGTAGTAGCACCCTTCAGGTGATTTATTAAAAATAGTTAAATAGATTTTGGGCAAGCTCTGGAAATTGGCAATCTTTTCATTTCCCCCAGCGCCCTAATCCTCCAAATCAACAACCACTTCGAACCCCAGAAGTAACATTCATCATGCAGGGAAGTGCATCTATAACCACCCCCCTGGCACGAGGGTAACATTAGGCAACACTTATGCATAGACCATCTTGAATTTGACAATGTTAGTATATGTCTAACGCTCGGAAGTGTTAGAAAAAATCTAACGACGCGACCTATCCCGTAAGTGATTTTTTAATAATCTGGGTATGTTGAATTGCGAAGTAACTAATACCTATATGATATGATTGTCACGTTTTCTTTTTTTAACAAATTTTCGACATAATTTTTATCATACTGTACGTTTGATTTTATTTTGTGCGGTAAATAAATATACAAGAAATTTCGTTGGTTCTTTGCAGAACAGAAGTCCAATGGATGCGATGGTACGAAGAAATTCAAAAAGATGTAGGTTCCGATTTAGACATAGATGACGCTACCTCAGAACACAGTTTTCATGACACGACGCGCGGTTTCACACACACCGATATTATCGGTGTCGTTATCGGTATCGGTATCGGTTTGCCTAACAAATACATTGCCTTGAATGAATAGTTTTACACAAAAACCGACCCGATAAATATATCGGTGGCCGTGTTCGATATCGTTGCGTCTGTCGGATGGTCGAGTTAAAATTGGCCAGTAAATTATCGCCCGGTTTAGTACGCAATGCAAACTAAATAGGCACATTCACACGTTCCGACTTGTCGTTATCGGTGTGTCATATCACTTTTGAAACTCAGTGTCGCACGAGTAGTTTGGCGTATTGACTGGTTGCTGGAACACGGGTTATACTTAATATGAGTGTGACTAAATTTAATTACGACATTGTTACACTCATTGAATTGGTGGAAGCAAGGCCCTGTTTGTGGAATAAATTTTCCGAGACTTACAAAGACAAGATATTGAAAAAACGTGAGTGGAAAGAAGTGCATAAATAACTTGAAGCCAATTTCGATAATTTAAATGAACAAGAACAGCAAAAAATTGGTAAGTGCATGTTTTTACCTGTATTTATTCACATTTACAGCCTACGTTACAGATCTAGGTTAGTACATATGTACCTATTTGAGCTTTAAACTTAAAGAACACTTGCCTAAATGTAAAAGTAATATCTAAGTATAAAGACATTAAATAGAACCAGAAGCAGTAACTTATGCGCTAAATTTAAGACATTTGCCATGGTAAGGATCCCTCTGGACTTACAAAGAATTCTGCAAATTTATCGCGAACATCATTGGCAGCTCGTCCACCGCGACATGCTGTAGTTGGTGGTAGATTTTGTAGCTCTCTGTCTGGTGCGTACATATCTTCTACACGAGTGCCATCTTTTTCTCGAACTAGGTTGTGCAAAATTATGCACGCTTTAACAATATCTTTTGCGTACTCCTTACCAACATTTATGGCTCTGTGAAATATTCGCCACTTATTCACTAATATACCGAACGAACATTCTATTACCGTCGCGCTCGACATAAGCGATAACTGAAAATTCTTTTATTAATATTTAAACTATGGCCCCCATATGGCCTAAGTAAATTCTGGGAAAGTGCAAATGCTTCGTCTCCAACTAAGACGAATGGTAGATTGTCTCCTGTTGAAATTAGGGGGCTTGGGTGGGGAATATTCAAGGCATTTTGTTGTAATAATTTCCAAAACACGGTTTCTTTAAATACTGATGAGTCGCAATCCTTACCAAAGGCACCTATGTCTACGTATATAAAGCGGTAATTAGAATCCGCAATAGCCATTAGGACTATCGAAAAAAAATGTTTATAATTCAAATTCATCGATCCACTGCCTGGAAACTTCATAATGCGGACGTGTTTCCCGTCCACAGCTCCTATGCAGTGCGGAAACTGAGCATTTCTTGTAAATCCATCAGCAATGTCCTTCCAATTTTCTACTGTTGGAGTTGGAAGATATTCATCTTTCAAAATATTCCAAATACTATGACAAACATCTTTTATAATCTTGCTTATGGTTGAAACTCCTAATCTGTAGGCATAATGCATATCCGTGAACGTGTTTCCACTTGCCAAATATCTGAAAAAAATATCTATGTATACCATCTATTTCAGGTGACGCTATTACAACAAAGTGGCAAAATATAAGAGATGCGTTTGTTAGATCCCTCAAGAAAAAGAGTGGACAGGGTGCACAACGAAAATATGTTTACCATGATCAGCTGCAATTTTTGTTACAAGTTATGAATAAAGATGAAACGATCTCTAGTATTTCGGATGAGGAAGTGCACCAAGGAGAAGAAACTGAAAATTCAAATGAGGTCCCACCTACACCAGCAATATCTAAAGCCAGTTCAAGAAGTTCCCATGCAAGTAAAACTCGCCAAGGCCGCAAGAGGCTTGCAGACCCCATTGAATTGGAAATTAGGAAAAAACTAAATGAACCTTCCAATGAAGATGAGTCATTCTTCAATTCCGTTGTTCCTATGATAACAACAATGTCAGAAGAGGAAAAAATTGAGTTTAGGATGGGAGTACTGCAGCTAATTCAAAAAATTAAACGAAATCGTCACATAAGCACCTCTAGCATCACCTTTTCTACTTCTCCTGTGTCTGATTTCTCTGCAGTCTCATCTCCGTCATATACTATTCTACAAGCAGCAAACCCATCAACGACAAACTATCAGTCGTTTTTTCAAGAAGGGTCATATATATCAACAAGTAGCACCTCACAAGATGTTTCACAACATTGCCAAAATAGTGTATGAATTATTTTTATTGTCAAAGATAAGTTTATGTAAGAATTTTTATATGTTATGTTACTTTAAATGCAAATAAAGAATTTCCTTAATCACTTACCTCAGTGTTATTGCCAGCATTTCTTTTGGAGGTACACATAATCTCATTTGAGTATCTTGTCTTTGTAAGCTACATGATAACTTTTCTAGTAAGTAGTCAAATGTAGCTGTGCTCATTCTGAAGTAGTTAAAAAACTTTTCATCATGCTCGCGCAATTTTTCAAACATTGTATAAAATGCTCCTTCTACATATTTTTGAGATAATATGGGATGGACCCAATATCGTTTTCGTCTTTTTTCTCGACACTTCTTTTTTCGCAAATACAGCAAATATAATAAAAACACAGCTTTTTTGTTCATATTAAATAATAAACTGTTCCGAGACGCTACACACACCGCACTGATCCCTGGCCTTTTATGAAAGACGGCGCAAAGTTTTACTTTTTTATCGGTGTGTAAGAAAGCACTCTCCGATACCGATTCCGATAACGACACCGATAATATCGGTGTGTGTGAAACCGCGCTAATACGGAGCAGTCCTCCGACTCTGGTAACGAAGATATTTGTTTACCTGCAGCTGCTTTGAAGAAAATACCCCATTTTACATGGCTAAAACACAAACCAGGTAACCTCCGAACAAAAACCCGTGCTCCAAATACAGTGACCAAGCTTCCAGGTGTAATAGGAGAAACGAAGAGAGGGAATGAAATTATCGATTGCTGGAAAATCTTTTTTCCATGGATGTGATAGTCGATACTATAGTTAAGTTTACAAACCAAAAATTGGATCAAATGCGGCTTTCCTACGGGCGTCCAAGAGACTGTTTACCTACAGATTCAGAAGAAATAATGGCGTTCATAGGTATTATTTACCTAGCAGGAGTGAAAAAGGCACAACATCTCAATACGAGTGAACAGCAGCAGATTATTTTCCAGCAACAATGTCTCAAAAGCGCTTCGCTATACTTATTCGAGCACTTAGATTTGATTATAAAAATACTCGACAAGAACGATCAAAGCTGGACAACCTGGCACCTATTCGAAATATATATGGATTATTTGTAGCCAAATGCTCTGGTAGTTACAGTCCCGCACAGAATGTTACTGTAGATGAGATGTTAGAAGCGTTTAGAGGCAGTTGTCGCTTCCGTCAGTACTTTAGTAATAAGTCGGCCAAGTATGGCATGAAGTTTTATGGCATCGGTCAGCCAGAACATTTTACGTTTATAATTTGGAAATTTATGCGGGAAAGCAGCCTCCAGGTCCTTATCAACTAGCTAATGATGCACCAAGCGTTGTGAATCAGCTCATAAAACCAATAGATAAATCGGGCAGAAATATTACTGCTGACAATTCACGTCGGTTCTTCTCGCTAACGAGCTATACCATAACCACAAAATGACTTATGTGGCCGCCATCTGAAAAAATAAACGGGAAATTCCTGGAGACTTTCTACAAGCTAAACCTCGACCTATACATAGTACTATGTGCGCATATGGTATCGATAAAAATAAATGCACTCTAACCTCGTTTATTCCAAAGAAGCATAAGAACGTTCTTATGTTCTCAACGTCTCATGACAGTGACACCATCGATCCCGATTCAAGAGAGCAAAAGCCAGACGTAATAAACTTTTACAACCTCACTAAGGGAGGTGTTGATGTTGCGGATAAAATGAAGGCCGACTATTCCGTTACGCGTTTTACTAATCGTTAGCTATTCACCGTATTTTTCAGCTTCCTAAATATAGCTACCATTAATTCTCAAACTATTTACAATTGCAATACTGGAAAAACTATACCAAGATACGAATTGATTACATCTTTGGCAAAAAGCACATAAGGCCACAAATGATGAAACGAGCTTCTCTTACAAATATTTCCTTTTCTCTCAGACACAAAAACCGATCGATTGCTGGCATTCAAAAGAAGGATACCCCCATTCCACAGAATCCAGAGCAAAAACCAAGGTGCGGATGTTGCCAAGCACGGAAAATAGATTTACACAACATAAATGTGACTGCTGTCAAACACCTATATGTAAAGAGCATCCCTCATCAACTACTTTTATTTGTCAAGAGTGTAACGATTCTGGAGAAGAAAATTAGATTCTTATTTCCTCTGTTTATTTTGATAATACGAGTACATATACAGGGTGTCCGCAAAGTTGGGGTTTTCCTTTACACGACGTGTAGATCTTGAAAACAATTTTTCTTAGTACCATATACACCAATGTCTTAAGGGAACCGAGATAAAGGGCTCTGCAACATCAAAAATATCTGAATACCGTCCTGTAGCCGCGACCCGGGACATCACCGATTGGTACAAGGTCTCAACCCGACGGCAGAACTGGGTCGGGGTCAGTGTGTCAGGTCAGTATGCAACCTTCAACCGACGGTTACGGTCACGCGTGTAGAGGTAAACGAACCCATATAATCGATTGCGTTTCAAAAAACAAGCACTAGAGACGTGGCTAGAGAAGTGCAAGTATCAAAAACTAAAGTGTGGCAAACGCTGCGTGAAGAGGGGCTGTATCCGTTTCACGTCCAACGTGTACAAGCCCTTCAACCTGACGATTTTCCAGCAAGAGTGCGGTTTTGTGAGTGGTCGTTGCATCAACATGACAATAATCCGGACTTTTTGAAGTGCATATTGGTGACAGACGAATCTACGTTCACGCGTAATGGGGTGAATAACTTTCGCAACACTCATGTTTGGTCAGTAGAAAATCCGCACGCTGTCCGTCGGGCACATTTTCAACAAACATTTTCGGTGAATGTCTGGGCTGGCATGGTGCACGGTATGCTCATCAGCTGATTTCATTTTCTGTTGGAGCGGTATGATTTCGGGCAGCGACGTACTTAGCCCTTCTCGTCAACTGGAGAGTGAGTACTTTTTCCTTTATTTTTTTTTTACTTGGTCGCCCTGGTTTCACTACACATTACCTTTGTTATTTCAAGGGTAGTTGTTTCTGAAAAGGAAAACCCCAACTTTGCGGACACCCTGTATAATAACATTTGAAATATGAAATAATCTAAGTGTGCGCCTTATGTTAGATAACATCTATACACGCAACCGATGGCGTTGTTCGAGGGCGTGCAACCGCTGACACTAGAGGGTTAGAAAGTTCTTTTCGCAAACTTCGTGATCAATTTTGTCCACATAACCGTCCCACAGAGCGTGGAATTCGGTGGATTATCAATCGTTTTGAGGAAACTGGCTTAGTTGAAGGTCGTAGAACATATCAACATGCCCATCCGGTACGTACAAATTATGAATGAGCAAACAACGAACGACTTTTTAGAGAAAACGACTTTATTCAACAGAAGACGAAGGAACACTGGTCGCTTTTTTAAAAAGTCGTTCGTTGTTTGCACATTCATAATTGGCGCTGCGAACAGTATTTTTTGGGAAAAATATTTGGTGGTTATCTGAAAGCTTGAATACTCTTAGGATAATGAGGTTTAAAATTTTGTTTAAGTGTTGGTAGTTGCATAAGACTTGTAGGGAAGGTTTGTTGTGGCTCTAGCCAAGTTTAACTATTCTGGGCTATAACTGATTGGGCTTTTGAGAAAAATTAAATTTAGACCTTTGGAAATTTTGATTTGAAATTTGTACTTTATTCTGCGACTGAGGCTGTTGTCGTTTAAATAGGCTGGTTCTTAAGAAATTTTTGTAATCAATTTGCATTTGCAAATTATTATAATCACGACAATATTGAATACAAGAATCAATTGTAGTAGTATTTTGCTGTCTTACATAAGACCTACATGGTTCATTCAAACCAGAGATAAAGGAGCTTAGACTGTCTATCGTAGTCAGTCAATTTAAAAGCAATATGATCCAGATTATCGTGGTATTCTAAATTTGCAGATACTTTCAAGCTCTGTACCTTAAATTTAATTTCTTAGTCTTCAAATTTTTGGCTAGGTCTCTGAACTGACGTGTATAAGGCGGTGAGAAGAGTTTCTTCATTTCTAGGATCTTTATATTTGGATAATAATAATGATTTTAAATCTGGCCCAGTTCTCGAACTAGTTAGGTGCACGAAATCTCTTACTTCGCTTTTCTGTTGAGACATAACGTACTGGAAAGCATATGCCGATCCTGTTCGCAGCGCCAATTATTAATGTGCTTAAAAAGGCGACTTTACTCAACAGAAGACGAATGAATACTGGTCGCCTTGTTTTACATGTGTCTCCTACTTCTAACCTAGGCTAGAACAAAGGAATTGACAAGTGCAAACCTAAGCAACTCTACATATGAGATCATCATCATAGCAGTGCCTTAATTTACACGTGAATCAGTAGCCGCTGTGAGTCAGAGTGTTCATGAACAGCCATCAACTTCGATAAGCCACCGTTCGCGAGAATTGGATATCAGTCCAGCAACATTATGGAGTATATTGCATGTTCATTTCCACCTAGACCCATACAAGATCCCACTTACTCAACAATTTACCTCAGTGACCACGTAAATAAGCAATTCTGTAGGATTTGGGGTTCGGAAAATCCACACGAGATCCATGAACATCCTCTCCATGATCAAAAAGTAAGTGTTTGGTGCGGATTATGGGCTGGTGGCATCATTGGACCGTTCTTTTTCGAGGTTGAAGCTTTTTTTGGCCGAAATTGGAAGATATTGATACCAATGACCTTTGGTTCCAGCAAGACGGTGCAACTTCGCACACAGCTCGCCAAGCAATCCAGTTATTGGCCGAAAAATTTCCAGATTGCATTATTTCGAGACATTCCGAAATTAATTGGCCTCCAAGATCGTGCGACTTAACGCCACTGGACTATTTGCTCTGGAGATTTTTGAATATTAAAGTATACGCGACTGCCCCACACACGATTCAAGACCTTAAGCGCAACATTCGCACCGAAATTACGACCGTGGACCCGCTAATACTGGAAAAAGTCATCGAACATTTTGATGTTCGGATGATGGCATGTCAACGGAGCCGCGGTGGACATTTCGCCGTTGAAAATACGCAAAGGCGTATCTCGAAATTAGGCGAAAATTGAATAGATACGCTAATGGACATATTTGACCCAGCTTCAAGCCGTGACGTGAAGGCGCTTCTCAAGATTCGCAATGATACTGGTACCGTACTAAAAGATCCCCGAGGTGGACGTTGTAGCGCAGCTGCTGAAATCGATGAAGCTAACAGAAAACTTATCATTAACCATATTAATCGATTTCAAAGAGTTGAGTCTCATTATTGTAGAAATGACACGTCGTGAAAATGCCTGCATAGTGATTTAACAGTGAAAAAAATGTATGAGATGCTTAAAGACAAATTGAGGCCCAACAACAAACTTTGGCTTACAACATATCGATCCGTCTCTAACTCAATGAATCTGTCGTTGTCCCACAAAAGACATATGCGTATTGTTGCACAATAAACTTATTACGATGGATCTCCGGAAACGAAGTTAAAACTGCAAAAAGATTACGAACAGCATACAAAAGCAAAAAATGAGAT